ATATGATGGGCCAAACTTACCCATTTATGCCTGTACAGGTGCCAATCATGCGTGTCATACATCAGTTCAGGGTACATTTTGCTGCAGCTAGAAGCAAGATTTTTTAATGTAACACAAAAACTTGATAATTAGGTAAAAAGTCTCCAGCAAATGGAACAATTTGATATATAATTAGTGGGAAAATCACACAAATTTAAACTACATTGACTCAAAATGTTCTTTGATTTGTTCCTTTCAAGGTTGTAATTAGCATCCTTAAGTAACAGACTTCCTGCATGCTTTTAGCTTTATCTTTTTTTCCCTTTGAAGAATTTTTTTTAAAATTTCCCCCATTTAAATGGTATAATTTGTTATCCAAAATTATGCAATAAAAAATGTAGGTCACCTCAAGAGCTAAAGACCATTGTACCTCTTAACATGGTCCATGGATTGAAAAACAGTACCATGTTCTTGGAAATGTGATTTTTATGCACAGTACAGGATGTGGGGTGCAAACTGAGGAATTACTTTAACATTATTTTGCTAGCACCAATCAGATTGCAATATAGGGGCTCTCAGTATTTTGAAAAAGTTTGAAACAATTGTTGCTGGCATTCAAAGGTACTCCTTCCTGTCTTATAATTAAGATGTTATTTTGTCTGTTGCTTTTCTGGATATCAAATATGCCCACAGAGGCATGAGAAGAGTTCTAATGAGAGAGTGATAGATGAATATTTGTTCTATTTAGAAAGAGCATTGGTGCTGTCTGAACAAGTTTAAAATGACCATCATGGACGCTGTGCACATGTTAGATGCTTTGGTGGATGAAAGTGACCCAGACACAGACTTACCCAATTCAGTACATGCCTTTCAAACTGCAGAGCGTATTCGTGTTGCCCATCCAGACAAAGACTGGTTTCACTTGATTGGTCTTCTTCATGACCTGGGAAAAGTTATGGCATTGTGGGGAGAACCTCAGTACTGTGTTGTTGGAGATACTTTCCCTCTTGGCTGCAAATTTTCAGAAAACATAGTCTTCCCTGAGACATTCGCAAACAATCCAGACACAAAAGTTCCAGAGTATAGGTATGCAAGATAACTATGATATGATGCACATTTTGCATTGTAGTGACAATTATCTCCCATTTATGAGACAATACACAACTTGCCCAGTAATATTTTCTTTAACTTGTACATGTGTAAAAGTTGTCTCTTTTCTCACTTATCCAGTCTTCATTTAACTGCAGGTATGTTTTTGTTGAATATTTTTCAGCTCAAAATATGGTATTTATCAACCAAACTGTGGTCTGGACAACATCACAATGTCTTGGGGACATGATGGTATGGATTTATTTTTTTTAGCTCGGAGATTTGTTGGTAATGATTTTAGGTTGGTCAAGGGAGACATTAATGACCAGGTTTTCTACCTCTTCTTGATATAAATGACAAAAACCTGTATAAGATAACTTAATACAACAATTAACATGACCTAAAGTGATCTTTATTCAAGATGAAGTAAGTCAAATGATTAAAACGCATATTTGAAAGGAAAACTGAAGGCAAGATGTGTGATATCTACAAATAAATCAATGAAATGGGACATTTAACACTGTTGTGTTTGTATAGGTTATATCAAAATCCAAACTTTTCAGGTATACTGATGATATATTTTAAAACTTAAGAGGAGTTGAAGTTAAAAACTAACATCATTTACAATGATGCTGTTTCTAGAATATGGACTATTCAAGTGTTGATTACCTATTAGTAGAAGTTAAATATTAGAATGATAAAGCTACTAACCTTGTTTTTTTCCTTTGTAGAGTACATGTATCAGGTGTTGACTGGAAACAATTGCAAGCTTCCCAAAGAGGTTAGAGGGAAAAAATGGGGCAGCACACTTTAAGACTACTTCCTTGTGAAACTCAAAGATCAATATAATGATTTTTTAATGATTTCCACATGTCAAACTTAATCCTCTCACTCACAGGGGTGAAATGTTTTCACCCTACAAGTTCTCAGGCTAAAATTATAAGAAACGAATAACAGACAGAAAAGAGAATTTTAAATCTAGATCTTGAAGGTAAAAGGATTGGGGCAAGTTTATGACAATCTTGTGACAAAGATGATGGACCAATTCATGTGACTCCAACATGTGGCACATAAATCAGATAACATAACAGCCTGCTACCATTGTTAGTATAGTTTATGTTATGAACATGTAAATGAAGGTTACATAATAAGTGGTTACTGGCAACATTTAGGAAATTACTTTTTATTCTTAAAATTATATTTTCAGGTACTTATACTTAGATATTACTAGAGTTCTTATTATAAGATATTAATATGGATGGTTTGTGAAATGTTTCCAGGGGAAGATCCATTTTCATTTTAAGGTTTTTTTCTTTTTAAAGGTAGCATGGCAATGAAAATTATGTCAGTTAGTGATTCAGAGAGAAATCATTTACAACTGTAACATTAACTGACCGGCCTGTACAAGGCTCTCATTAATTCACAGTGACTTATCATAAGTTAACTTACCAGTGCTCTAATTAAGTTAAAGATTTGATAATTTTTGACAAATACAATATGTGCTCCAGCTTGATACTATGCACATGTTCTTTGCAGGGACTGTATATGATAAGGTATCATTCATTCTATCCTTGGCATTGCAATGGAGATTATAATTACCTTTGTAACAAGGAAGATATGGGAATGTTGAAATGGGTGAAAGAGTTCAAGTGAGTATTAATCAGTTTGATGGTGATTGGTAGCATTTGTAAACCATTTACATTGTTTTTTCCTGATACTTATTATTTAGCTCAACATAATCACAACATTCATATGACAACTAAGGACATTAGAAGAGCTGTCTCCCTATTCAGCATACTGATAAATAGAGTGCACTTTACAGGATAGCATTTTTTACATTATGCCACCTTGAAAAAGCTGTCCATTAGGAATCAATCAACAAGCACATGTTCTATGAAGGGTGAAAATACAACAACCACCCACGAGATAATAATATTGCTATTCAGTCAAAAACCAAGCTCAAAATTTACTCTCTCTTTCTCTGTATATATTAACCCAAAAAGTATGTCTCACTTGCAGTAGATTCTTCATGGCATAAGGGTTCATTATGCTTGGATTCAGTAGAATACACATTTCCAACTTGCAAGATTAATTTCTTTATGATATAGGGGTTCTTTATGTTTGTTTTCAATCAAAAACATATTTCCACCTTAATTTGTGGTGTCAAATTATTTTGTAGTAAATTTGACCTGTACTCAAAGTCTGATGCTATACCAGATGTGGAGGCTGTAACACCATACTATGAGGAATTGATAGCCAAGTACTGCCCAGGAGAGCTATCCTGGTGAATGAAACATGCCTAATACACAATAATCAACTAAAAGTTTTAATTTGAAAAGCAATGCTTTATCTAAATAATGAACAATTTTTCTGAAACCCCAAAGCATGTATGTTTGTCAAGTGTGGACCAGAAATATCAATTGAATTGGTACGGGCAATCATATAATAATAAGGCTTCGAGAAGGAGACATTTCAATCACCGGAAAGCTGTGGAAAGACTTACACTATAATCTGGAAAGTCATTAAAAATCAGAATGTAATTATTAAATCAATGAGTGATGCCTTGTGGACAGAGCCAAGTATTGTGTATGTTTAACATATTGTTATACTTTGTTGCTTTATGCTTTTGTCAAGTTTTGACCATATTAATGCGTGCGAGTGAATGAATGAATGAATGAATGAGGCAGTGTGTGTAACTTTAAGTGTAGATAATCTCATATTTCAGAAGTAGAAGTACAGTTGAGAGGCTTTTGAAGTTAGGTATATTTACAGTTCTGTGGTCTTTTTTTTTGTAGTATCTTTTGTACCATTGTCACTGAAGTAAACTATCCAAGGGTGTAGGGCTTTCTTTTAATAAAGAATTACTGTTAAAGAAATTACCAGAGGAATGTGTCTTGCATTGTTGAAATAATGACAGTTACCATGTTTTGCGTTGCCAACCTAAATGACTTCCTTTAGCTTTAACTTTTTCAAGAGAATCAAGCAGTTTTACATTTCTTAAGGAATGTTTTAAGTGTTGGACAAAAACTCACAAGTATAAATGGTAAATTTTTCGGTAAATTCAAGGATCTGGCGATATAAGCTGCACCTTTTCTCTCTCCTCTTTCAGGGGGCCATATGTTAACGTTTGACACCACTCCTTATAGGAATGTAAATTCTCAAATTTGCAATGATATCGTGGCAATTAGTCCTTGAAAAAACTTTCGTTTCCTTTTGAAAACTTCAATGAATCACATGCAATACAAGATAATTTGGTTTTATCAACTGAGTTGATAGTTGAAATAGGCCACCATAAAGAGGAAGCTTACTCTTTACGGTGGCCTATTTACATCATCAACTCAGTTGTTAAAATCAAATTATCTTGTTGTGCTCCCCTATCGACGCAGCACCACAGTCTCTTGGTAACGTAATCCCTATAATTCACCGATATGTCTTCATTTTTCGTTTACTTACCAGCCTTGCAATCCCAGTATTGCCACTGTGTTGAGAGCGTTTTCTCTGAGTCAAGTCGAATTATAATAGGCGTTAAGCAGGCAGGACGAAAACGCCAAGGAAAATAGCGATTGACAAAATTAATTTTTTTTTAGTTAGAATAGTTTGCCGTCGAGTTATCCACTTTCAGACTAAACAAATTTTGGTGATTTCACATTGTTGATTTTCAAAGGACGACTAAGAAAACTAATAGTTTCAAAACACACTTGCTGAGCTATTGTTTTACCCAGAAGATCTTTTTTTTTTTGTTTTTTTGGCCACCTCTTCGTTGCTATCACCGTGTGGGTACCTTATGATTTACCACTCGGTCGTATCATCAGCCTTAGATCCACTTAACATGTGATATATGCATGACCATAATAAAGAGATTACTTGTTTTTGGTTCTGCAAAGAAATAACAAGCAATGATTTTAATGATGGACCAACTTACTTTCCACTCAACAAGCTAAGAGGGAAAGAACAGAGATATGTGATTCTCCCCATTCCCCACTCATCAGGCCGAGAAAGACTTGAGCCACATTGTTGCATTTATTTGGTGCACGGTTAGGGTCTATATTGTTTATTCAGCAGATTTTCAAGTTTAGTCGACATCACTCATAACACAATACTTAAATTTAAGCTACAATTCCAAAATTTGCTGACATCGCGAAAACTTTACGCAGTTTTTGACAAGACTGCTGAAAAAGGGGAAAGTTTCTTTCGTGTTCGCTTTACAAGTGAGTTTGTTTTACTGAGCGTGAACTATGTTTGTAGTATTATAATTTTCCTCCCGGCTTTGTTGGACCTTGCACTGTCACTGCTATACATGCACGATGGAGATATTTGGTTTCCAATTTACTGATGATTCAGTTTTTATCCGAATGATAGGTCTGTGGGATTTGCTTAGAGCGAGTAGATAGATGCATATTATTATATATTTGATTATGCTACAATATTTGTGGAGTGTGAGCTGGTAACTTACCTTGCATAATTAAATTGTTATTGAGTTTATCAGATGTAGAGCAAAACGCACTCTTTAGCACATATTGTACTGTGTGCACATATGCATTATGACTTGATTGGTGGTTCGTTATGTACAGATCTAGCTATTTCTTACGTAATATAATTATCTGGCACCCCAGGTGTAAGTCCAACTTACACAAAACTCACTAGTAGCGACTCAGCAACTGATAAATTGATCAACTATCAGGTGAAAAATTTACTGCTAGGTTAGTGAGATTACTAGTTGAACACATTATCCAGAGAAGGCTTTGGGCCATTCATTTAAAAATTGTAACAAATGCGGGAACAATTGGTGCCTTTTGCTGTGGATTCATGCATAATAAACAGACATGTTGATCGCCATCCATTGTTAACCCTGTAACTCCCATTAGTGACCAAGACAGAATTTCTTCTAACAATATCAACACAGTATCAACCAAACAAGTGATGAGAAAAAAGGAAAATATCAATTTGGAGATACTTAGTTGATCCCATACTAAATTCTCTAAACTAACATTATAAGATTTGTATGTCAGACAGTTAGGAGAATTACTAATGTGATCTGGGAGTGAAAGGGTTAAGAGATACTTATGCAGAAAGTACATTTGGATTCACTCAGCTATCACGCTCTTTATTACTTTTGATAAATAAATTGTATTCAATATATCAGGGTCTTTTCTATTTTGTTTCTGTCAAGGTCAAGTTTTATTTCAAGATGGATCATAGACATTCTGAAAGTAAACGTCATGCACACATACAGAATTCTGTTGGTGTGTCTGTGGCCCAATCCGATGGAGAAGAAGGTGTCATGAACACTGGATATTACACATTACCAGCATGTCGTTTTACAATCCTGGTTCAGGTGTTGTTATTTACTGACTTAGTGTCCTCTGTTGCACTCTGGCTTTGTGGTGGAGACAATGAGTACTTGGAGGACAATGTGATGCAATTCAAGATAAAAGACTCGGTGTTTGACTTGGCGGCAATAGCATTTGTGAAGTGCAGCATTCTCTTCTTTTCTTATCACTGGTTAGAAAAATTGTCCATGAAGCAGATTGATTACCCTTATGACAGAAAACTTGCATCAAGGAAATGCTGGTGCCATTTTCTTGCAATTTTTTTGAGTCTCGGGTCTCTTGCTTACAGTATAACAAAAGGTGTTCTTATTTATAAAGTAAGATCACAGAAAGAGCATAAACTCCATCCAACTTACTTTGCCCTGGTCATAAGTGCTGTCACATTTTCCTTCTTGGAAACTGTGTTTGCACTCAGTAGTTTTGTTGCTATGAGACGACTGAAATTGCTGCGAATTCTTCATACTCCTAATGATACTGAAGCCAAAAGGAAGCCACAGGTCAATTTAGGAAGATTGATGACTCTGGCCAAACCAGTAAGTGTTTTAGTTGATTTTGTAAACATTTTGCTGGCTGGTCCTTTAAGGACATTTAGACTTTGCGTAACATGTTCATGTTAATTTCTTTGGCATGAATGAGTTAACAACTCAATGAAGTTGGTTTTGTCGTGTAAAATTATTCATAATTCTAACCAAATTTAAATATATTGAAAAGGATATTAAAACACATGTCAGGGTGATGTGTGCATGGTGTTCATCAGAGTTTTATTCTGAAAAAAAAATAAGGGAATAAAATATGATGTCAGTAATTTTCATATTTACAAGCTCCCGTTTTGTTTTCCAAACTTACATGCATTTGTTAATTTACAGGAACTTCTGTTACTGTTGATAGCATCTTTGGGGCGCAAATTGCAGCTCCTTTCTTTTTTGGTAAAGTAATTCAAGCAGCAACAGAGAAAGGCATGAGTAAGTGAATGGTGATGTATATAGTTAACATTTGAGGAACACTTTTATGAAAATGGTTCACAATAGCAGATTATTGGAGATTTGTCTATGTTCAGCATTAATTTATCCAGAGGGAGAGGGAATAAGGAGGGTCGGGTGAGGATCAGGGTTAGGGTTTAGGGTCAGTTTGCCATTAGCAGGCAGAACAGTCAGATGGGAAACAAAATAAGCTGACAAACAAACAGTAGCCATTCTAAAGTTTAAATAGCTGCACCTGTTACCCTGAGGTTACCCAGTGGAGGAGCCTTGATCTACTTGACCCGTAGCTGGGAGCTGCTGGCTGCAAAGTAAACCATAGTAGTTATATGGTAAGAATATAACAATGTCATAACCAGTATGCCAATGTTATGAATTTCTTTTTCATCACAGAGCATTTAAATGAGACCATCGTGATCCTTGCCCTTGTCTACCTTGGTGGTGCATTTGCTGCTTTGGTAAGAGCTTGGCTCTTTACCTTAGCTGGTCAGCGGCTTGTGGCTAGGATAAGAAAGAAGGCAAGAATCTTTCTTTACATAATTTAGAACATTACTTGTAATAACTACAATCAATCAATCTAAAGTTGGTTGGATTTTCAGTTTTCTTTACATGTCAAGTACTTTGCACATACTAAGGAAAGTATCAATGCCTGTGTTTTAATTTCATATTTAACCTGAAATTCTCATCTAATTTCTTTACTCAGCTGTTTAATGCTATTATGTGTCAAGAAGTGGCATTTTTTGACAATAACCGGTAAGAAAAACATTTAGTTTCTTATAAATAATGAAATGATGTGTGGAACAAGATAAAAAATAACTCGAGTTATTAACTCAGTTGATATTTTAATTTGCCCAGTGTAAATAATAAATTCATTGATAAGATTATTTGATTTACTCCTCACCTCCTTCATAAACAGACTGATTGAGGGACCATCTTTCTTTTAATTGTAACAATAAATAAATTAGAGTAACATTAATTTAGTATAAGGACCAATTTCATTGGTGAATTAGGTAAAACACTCATTGAATTAAGATAATACACTGATTGATTGAGAGTCATTTTCCTCACTGTGTGCTCATAGGACTGGTGAACTTATCAACCGACTGTCATCAGATACTCAAGTCATTCAAAATGCCCTAACAGTGAGTGGTGTAACTGGTTTATTTGGAATTTTTTGTTGCTTAATGTTATGAAATATATATTCACACAAACCCTATAAAGCTCTGACCTGCTTTTGTTCCATTGATTATGATTCATTCATTAATAAACTCAATTTCTCCAAATCAATTTCAAGATTAAAATGAAGTTATCTACTAGGGACATCTTTGTCAGGAATTTCTCAGTCAGAATGTTAGCAATCAATAGTACACGGTTTCTAAGGTCACATTTCTACCATAGGACCTTTCCTCTTATTTTCAGTTACTAACTGAAGGTAGTAATATGTGAACTGATAAATTTTTGCAAGGAAATATAATGCAGATGAAGAAAATAGAGTTATTGAATGATTGTGTTCATTTTTTGTGAAGGTGAATGTCTCCATGTTACTGCGGTACATATTCCAGATCATTGGCTCCTTGGTTTTTATGTTTACTCTGAGTGCCAAGTTGACTGCAGTTCTTATATCTGTTGTTCCCATTGTGGGAATTGGTGCTCAGCAATATGGTGGGTTAGCTGAGTTATGAAACTTTTAATTGTTATTGCCTAAGGAATACTGAGTACCTTCTGAAAAGGAAACTGATGATTGATTTGAAAAGCTTGCTGGTCAAAAAAAGTTCATTTTTAACGTAACATGTCTATAATGGTGTCACTTTGTGCTAGTTTGTGAGACAGAAAACTACCCTTCTGGTTGGAAAATGAGGTTTAGCTATGGAGAAAACCCTACCCTGTTTCGCTCCATTCCAGTTCAGTTCTAAAAATGGTTACTTTTCTCTTTCAACTGTGAAGTAAGTAAAATTCTAGATCCCTAGTAAAACTGGGAAGCTTTAAACAATTTGTTTCCTCATCATTGGAAATTGTTGAAAGTGGCACTATAATTGTTTCCTGGTGATTTAGGAAGTTATGTACAAAGATTAAGGAAGAAATTTCAAGATGAGTTAGCTGCAGCTTCTGCTACTGCAGAAGAATCAATTGGGAACATACGTACAGTGCGATCATTCTCTCAAGAGCGTAAAGCCATGGGAAACTATGGGACCGATATTGATAAGAGTTACAAAGTTGGAGCTAAACTTGCCCTTTTTTCAGGTACAGGATGGTTTTTCTTTTTTGCATGATAAGACGGTTTTAGTTTTTTTTATTATTTATTTACTTATTTTTACAAAATTTGCTTTTAAGTTGCTTCAGTCTATAAGCCCCTTGTTGTAAGGGTAATAGTCAAGAATGGATTTTCTTTTGAGAAGAAGACTAGAAAGTTTTGTTTATTTTGTGATGGAGAAATGAGCAGCAATGAAACATCATAGAGGTATACCTTTTTGGTCAGTACAACAACTACGAGGATAGAAATTATTATTTATAATTAGTAGTTTGGGTAAATAGTTGATTTTTGTATCCATTCTGGGTAAAAATTGGGAATCAAATAAATCCAGACCATTTTTTGATCTTACCTACTTCTGTATAACAAGAATTTTCTTTGTAAGTCAAGGAGAGTCACTGTAAGTGATGCTTTTTTTAACATTCAATATTCTATTTTACCTGCAGGTTTATTTCAAGGTGTCATTGGTATTATTGGTCAGGTTTGTTACTTGAAGTAGAACTGTGCTTGTGTAAGCTTCTTTTATGTCTTTCATATCTTAAGAATCATTCTGTTTTTCAAGTTTTCTTCCACATTCCCTAAGGAGGAAAAACATTTTTCAGTTGTAATTATTGTTTATATCGACTGCTGATTGTTTGTATTTTACATGTTAGGGTGCTGTTGTGTTGGTCTTGTGGTATGGTGGTAATCTAGTCAATCATGGTGAACTTAATGTTGGAATTTTAACAGGTAAATTATTTGAAAATTAATTTTAAGGACATGATTGGGTTATTTACTCCTCACTATGAATACCAAACTAATTAATTAATTTGGCAATTATAATTGGTCATCATTAATAACAATATGAATATTCATCTTATTGTTTCCAAGCATTTATGCTGTACACTTTAAATGTGGCCATGGCATTTGCCTTCCTCTCATCTCTGTATGGAGACTTTATGCAGGTTGGTCTAGACTAGTTCAAATTTAAACCATTTCCCCTTCCCCCTCCAGTCTATTGTTGTGTTGCCCTTTGCATTAACCCTGATTGCATTTCATAGAGACAATGCACACATGCAGCATTTCCATTCTACCATTGCTGGTAGCATTAGATGCTCAAGGGGCCACTGCAATAAAAGAAAAATTGTTTAAAGTGGAAAAAGTGTAGCTCAATTCTATTTAAATTTTCAGTTTCTATTTCACTTCTTATTCAATTTTTTTTCATTATTGTGATGATCTGAAAAATAAGGGCAACTTCAGTTGAATTAACAATGGCACAACTCATTAATGGAATTTCTTAACCTTCATAGAATTTGTTTTTTCAGGCTGTTGGTGCATCAGTGCGCATGTTTCAGCTGATGGATCGCTTACCTGCTATAAATGTGGAAGGAGGACAAAAACTTCACTCTGTTAATCAAAGTAAGTGTCAAGTGTGAGGCATGTATATTTTACTAATATTTTCAACTAAAAGTGATTGTCCTGCTGGAAAATAATGCTAATTCACTGATGAAAATTAATTGAATGTCATTAATAGTCCAAAAGAAAAATTAGAAATAAACACACACGAAAAAAAGAGCACAAACCTTGAAAGAAAATGCAAGCCATAATGATCTTCAAATTCCCACCAGGTGCCATATTGAGTCTAGATTTTTGCACTTGTTTCATTCAACTGGTTCTCAGAGGGGTAGGAGAAATGAATTTGGTAACAACAGAATGTTAATCACAGAAGAGGATTTTTATTTTGATGACATTTCCATCTATACTTTTTTGCTTGTTCATGGTATGGTTTATTCCTATTTGTCAGTTGATACATTTTAAGTTGAAGTGTCTATTGAGGGTTAGTTAAAGCTTTGTTTTGAAGCAAATTTCCTAAAAATCCTCTCATAAACTAAGTTCTATTTGTAATGATAGTCACTGTCCAGAATTTTTTTAAAACTTTTTTTCCTTGAAGCAATCCAGTTTCAAGAAGTCTGCTTTGCTTACCCATCAAGACCAGATACTGATGTTCTCAAGGTAAAGTCATCACTATTTTGAGAAAAATACCAAGATTTCCTTAGAAGTGAACCTGTGTGTTATTAAGCATCTGAAAACCTTTTGAAAACTAATTATAAATACATTTTGTGATTTCACATTTGTCAGGCGATGTCATTTGAACTAAGACCTGGTCAGACTGTGGCACTTGTTGGGCCTTCTGGTGGTGGAAAGTCAACAGTGATAAGCCTAATTGAGAGGTTCTATGATCCAAAGTCAGGCATCATCACCATTGGTTGGTGTTAAATATTGTCCTTAGATGGACTTTCTGCCTCTCACTAGTGATGAGGAAGTTGGTTTTACTGATTAAAGATCTTGTAGTTTGCAACACTGAACTGTACACCATCAGATAACAGCTATGTCTGCACATTGTTCTGGTCAGCTCTCAAAAATTTTGGAGGGCTTGTATAATTCAAGGGCTTGTTTTTTTTATTGTTAAAAAAAAAAAACATTTGGAGTCAAACTTGTTCTTGATCATGTCATAGGAGGAACAAACTTGGGTGAACTGGACCTGTTTTGGATGAGACGCAAGATTGCCCTTGTAAGCCAGGAACCAGTTTTGTTTGCCACAACTATAGCTGGTAATATTGCTTATGGACGTGATGCCACTTTAGAAGAGGTTGGTACACTATTATATCAAGGTGTCTTTCATATCAAGTATCTTTATATTGGCTGCCTCAACTATACTCTACAGATCTCTAACAGAAACTTGTGGCATAATGCTCACCTGAAGGCATAGGGTGGCTGCTGAAGTTAAACCATCAAATGTGAGCAGTGAAATAGAATTGCTTGCTTGTGAATTACTACTATGTTTTATTATCTTTCCTCTCTCTGTCCATAGATAGAGGAAGTTGCAAGGCAAGCTAATGCTCATGCCTTTATCACAGCATTTGAGGTAATATACCACTCACTCACTCAGTTGATCAGAATATTTATAAATGTAAAACAAACATCATAGTAATGGATTGTTCAATTAAACCATAGGAAGGATATCAGACTCAGGTTGGTGAGCGTGGTGTGAAGTTGTCCGGAGGTCAAAAGCAGCGGGTAGCTATTGCAAGAGCTCTTCTGATGAACCCTGATATTCTCCTACTGGATGAGGTATGTCTTGCTTTGAGGATTATTGTTCAATTTTTTCCCTATTAAGAGTAGAAAGGAGGAAAGGACATTGCCATGCTATGTTCCTGAAATGTTTTGCTTGTTATTTGCAAAAGTTATGCAAGCATATACTTTGTGTAATCCCAGGAAAATAACTGCTGTGGATTTCCATTTTGAATCATCTTTTTAGGCAACAAGTGCTTTGGATGCTGAAAGTGAACATTTTGTGAAGGAAGCAATTGATCGAGCCATGAAAAACAGAACAGTTCTAGTAATAGCACATAGGCTGTCTACTGTGCGCAATGCTGACCAGGTTTGTTTTAAAAGAATGTTTTAAAAACCTTGGTTTGAACTCTACTTGAAGATATTTCTTTCTTTTAATGATTTTACTTTATGCAGTACAAATTATGTACAATTTTTAGTGTCTTCATCAGATTGAGATACCCACTTGATGAAAAAAAATTTTCATTTTAGCTTATTCCTTCAAATCCTTTAGGAACAAGGAAATATGCCCTTTTGTATTGAGAATCCACATGCAAACATCTGTTTTGGAACACAATTTGTTAATGTGTTAGGCAATTTCCATTCCTTATAAAGATAAACTATTAACCTTTTCTACAGGTATTGGTCATTGATAAAGGCCAGATTGTTGAGCGAGGTACCCACAAGGACTTGCTGGCTAGTGAAGGTGTTTACAAGAAACTTGTGTTGCGACAGCTGAGTACATCCCAAGGTGCCTCTGTTGTAGATGTTGAGGGTTTTGACCCAGATCATTTGGAGACAGGCGAACCTCCCATTGATGAAGAGGAAGAATCCTAGTTAAACTTTTACAGTTCAACTAGAATCTTGTTGTTTCTTCTGTGATCTTTTTTAACAGCAAACATTTTAGACATACAACAATAAAAAAGTAGTGAAAAGTAGTTGTCCTAAGTGTAGGACAAACAGCTCCAAACACCCAACTGACCAAGAGTATTGCTGGGAAGGATCTCTGTGCTATTGTGTAACCCAATTTTGTACAAAACTTAATTAATGCTTCTGTTAGACAACCATTGACCATATTTCTACACTGCAACTATTATTGCTACGAAAATATGAAGGTAAATATTTAGAGGGAGCATAACCGATCACTGATTCAGAGTCATTAATTAGTAGTTGTGCTGTGATCTGTGTTTTGCCTCTGATACCTGTAAGACATATTAATTTTTGAAGTTTTTTTTTAATTCAAAAACTTATTGGTTGTTTAATACTTAAACTTAGAAGAATAATGTAACTCAGGACTAAGTGTGCAGGTTCACTGTAGGATAGTGCTGGTGTCATTCCTTTAGGTCATTCCATAAGGTCACATTAATTGAAATGTTACACTGTTAGTACATAAATGCAGAATATTGTTTTTTATTAGGAAATAACGTTAAATAATTGGCTCTGTGGAAAATTTATTGTCATAAGTCATCAGTGGGGAACAAGGCAGCATAATCCAGACTTTTCCTTGCTACATCTGGAAGGGTTCAGTTGTTGCCTGTGCCATCTTGTTTACTTCACTAATTTTGTTTCAAATCCACCTAATAGAATGCATTTGTATGAGCACAAATGTTTGATAGCTTATGCCTCATCAATTGGCCATGATATAAATTACTCTGATAAGTGTTTTCCCTGATGTTGCCAGCATCTCAAGGGAGCATACCACAATCTGCACATAATAAGAGTGCAGACTTTTAATAAAAAGAGTTACATCTTTGAGAATTTCTCCATTCTTTGTAACGTTCTAAATAAGGCTGAGCCAGAACAGACACAATTCATTGGCTCTCCAATTTCTTTGTAATTTTGTGTTTTAAAGAAGTTCACGGCCTTGACTGCACTTTCAAGTCTTATTGGTCTTAATCTTCTTTGCCTGAGTTCTTGTTCCATTGCACTTAACATTTTCCCACCAAAACCTTGTCTCTGTAAAATTAAACCCATATCAATTAAAATAACTTGCCTAGTAGCCACTTCTTAGAGACCTGCAATCATCCTTGATATGACTGAAAGCAATAAAGAATACCAGTATGTTGGAGACATGGTTAAATGGGAACTAAATTTTTCTTACTTGGAATTTTCCTTTGACAAAAATAAAGTTGATCCAGTGGAAATAATGTTCATTTGCTGTATCTTCAACATTATCCTTTGCCAGTTTGGCACAGATAACACAGACAACTGGATCTAAAAGGGAGAAACACAAACATCCTGCTTTACAAATGGTCTAATCACCATTTTTTCAAGGTCATCACTTGTGGTGAAGTACTAAATTCAAGGTTCTCTGAAGATCTGGATAAAGAGGGCAAGATTCTAAAAAACACTGTGGTGCTACATCAGTGGGAGAGTATAACAGGGTAATTTGGTATTGTCAACTGAGTTGATAATGTAAATTGGTCACCATAAGAGTTATAAAGCTGACATTTAGAGTGTTAGCCCCTTGTCAGAGCTAGGGCTAATGCTCTAATCATCAGCTTTGTTACTCAATAGAGGCCAATTTACGTTACCACCTCAGTTGATATATAATACCAAATTGCTCAGTTTCACTGAAGATCTGTTAATTATCCATTGTCATGGACATGTGACTCATGATGTGGTGTAGTGTTTTTGAAAATGATTTTTTTTACTTGGATCACGAGTTTAAGTCCCACAGCAGGATGTAAAATTTGCAAGGTGACCTATTTGGCCTACCACATTACCCCCAGACTTGTGGTAGTAGTCCACTACACTTGTCAGATTCAAACTGGGTCAGTAATAAAGAGTAAACTAGACTGCATGTGCTTTTCAAAATACGAGTTCTGTGAACCAGCGTGGCAGAGAAAAAGAGACCCCACATGAGAGAAAAGATGGCCAGACAAAGTAACTGTTCCAGCCAAAAGTAATTCAAGTTTGCCACGAATAAAAGAGCGCAAGTATATAGGAGTTTTCACCTTGGTACAAATAAGGTCTCGTGAGAGGCCACCGGATTAACAGCAGTTCAAGCTTTCTGTTCTAACAAATAAAGTTATATTAGGTCTTATCGTGCCTTTTTCGTCCAATTTCTCTCCAAACATCACCAAGTCGTCGTCTTGTGGCTCCATTGATTCTCCACAAGTATCTCTGGCAACCTGACGAAACTTCCTTCTGTTCTTCGTGTTTAATTGTACTTGATAGATATGGAAGCCATGCTCAATCCAGTCACTGAAAAAAAACCAAAAATAAATAAAAAAATAAAAAAGATGGCAACTAAAAATGTATGCTTAATAGTTATCTATACGTTTTGGGAGCATCAGCAGTATTCAACACAACATTATGTCTAGATAAGAGACCTCTATCAAGTAAAGAACTCTTCTATGATTAAGTTTAAATCGCATAACGTTGTCTAACACCGGTGAAAGACTAAAGTGCCGCGATATTTTAATAATAAAACAAACATGTTTCTTATTCTTACCTCATCCTCACACTTAGATTCCTGAAACAGAGCGGCTGAAAGCGTAAACTACGTTTACTTGCCTGCCAATGAGTCGTCCGCCATGATGAAAAACATTGGCACCCAGGTCTTCCGACACCCTCGCCGGTAAAAACCCCTCGCAGCACAGTGGGGCCGAGCAAATAAATTAAAAAGAATTCCAAGAGACACTCAACGTTTTAAAGCCAAACTGATAGAGGGTTCGATCACAGTCTCTTCATAGAGCACTGAAAAGAAATCTATTGATTAAAGGATAAATTTCTCAAGGGTTTTCCTCTGAAAGACTATTGCCTTCGTCTTTGTTCTGGAAAACGAACTGAGGAAAATATTTGCATTTTTAGTTCAATCCAACTTTGAAAGAGGTTGAGGGGTATCCATTTAAATTCTCAATAACTGATCCTTCTGCCCCATGCGCAAAGTGCCTTGTTCTTTATTAATCTCTTACCTTAATCATGCTGTTTTAACACATAGCAGGAAAAAAAAATTTATGGATAGTGCCTCAACAAAGAATAAAACTCACTAAACTGGTGGGGTAAGTCTTGATCAACTTTAATGAGTCCCTCGTAACAACCGAGTCAACAACACCACTTATTTTGGTTAGTTAACCAAACTCATCTAAATAAATCCTGCTACATTCCTGCACTCCTTCTTAATGGCAAGTATTCTGTTACAATTTCCATTTATTATATTACTAGTACCTAATAAAGTGACCATTACAGAGTCAGCCACCGATATGAATAATTAACTTTTAGGCTAGTCTAAATGTACAAGAAAATTTTGGAACAGAACAAATTTAGCATGCAAATTGCGAGATGAGAAATTAGCACACCAGTATCAAAGCTTGGTAGGATACCGCAACAAAATTTTGCCTTATTATCTCTTTAAGACAAAATTTTCAGTTAATTAGGGCTCGAAAATCCTCAACAAAAGCAGAAAGTGAGTGAATGTAAACAGGAAACAAAGACTTCTCCACCAAAATATTTCAGGATTGACTTAATTCTTTGCGTAGTTACTTGAATTAAACCCTCACTTTTGTTTGAATACAGTAACCACATCAGTATCAAAGTAGCCTGATCCTGATAAAAGAAACCCATTATTTTTTAATTCTAAATTATCCTGCTTTGACTGATAAAAGATAATCATATAGAGGAGTCCTTAGTTTTCATCTCATCATTGAAATCTGACAAGTAAATGACATTCCTGATCACTTCTAACAAATCAAGATGGGGAGCTGGCAATCTATCACTTACTTACTGTGGTCATAGTGTTTCTTATGAGTTGTAGGGCAAGCAGATCATCAGGGTTTTCTAAAAACCTGCTTCAAAATTTTCAACTTCTGATGGTAGAATAGAACCTAATCCCTCCTGGCTCCTTGGAAAACAAAGAATTCTAATTCATCCACCTACTTGCCATATTTATTTATTTAAAACTTATACTAATGTTTATCATAATTTCTTTTTATAATTCCTGTTTAATAACTGACCTGATGGTGTTTGTCCCTCTGAGAATATCAAAGAAATCTAATAATATCTAATATCACCAAGAAAGCTAATATGGAGTGTTGGCTGAATTAACCTATTATAAATTAAATAGTTATACACAGCTAGAAACAAATGTCTACAAGAATTTTCACAGAGCAAAATGAACAACTACTAACAAAACAAAAGCATCAGAGCTGTTGTTAGTCCACAGTATGCAGATTAATTAGAAGTATAAGGAGGTGGAGACTCTTTGGGAGTGTCTTTAACTGCATCCTCATAATTTGGCAGAAGACTATGAGTCTGCAAAGAAAGCAATAAGGTTTGAGTGGCTTCTTGTTACATACATAACTCATAGTGGTGGTTCACAACAAAACATTTTAACATAAGGGTGCTACTGATGTTAACAATCTCCCATATTATATGATCATGGTAGATGAACAGGCCCTGTTATTCAAGTTGAACCTGAGAGCAACAATCACCAGGCATCACTAACAACATAAGTGTAGACCTAACAAATACTAACCACAATTTATTTTATTTATTTGCAAATTTTAGAATATTCAACTTTCAAGCTGGTTTAAATAGGGGCCAGTGTTACCATCAAAACAGCCAGACCACAACACCAAGAGCTACCTTCCAAACCCATTGTGAGATATGCATGGGTTCTTTAGCATGTGCTAAAAAACCCAGGACACCAGAACATGCAGGAACACAGGAACGTCCTGTAACTTCAGTCTTTGAAGATCTTTTTGTCTCTTGTTTTAGCTGTGACTAAATGCCCGACAGCTGGCACAGTCTCAATTGACTAAATGCCAGAAAATTTCACAGAATTTCCACAAAAGGTTCTTTCAAACTTTTAAAAATATCAAATGATTGTTTAAAAATGTCAAGTAATTCCAAAAATTACCGTAATTTCTGACCATTTACCCATGGGTAATCTGTTGATTTTTCACTAAACGCACGCCACTGCGTGTGATAGGGAGGTGCGGGTTACGTAACAATTTAAAAATCTACTCGTAGTTGAATTGGAAAAAATTATCACCTCTCAAATGAATTTTATTGTATTAAGAGTGCCACAAAGCGGCACGAAAACATGATGCCAACTCAAGTTTATGTCATGCATAATTAGTTGCATGATAAACAAATTGCTATCAGCATGTGTGAAAACAAAACCTTGATGGTGACAAAAATAATCCAAAGATATCTGGCACATCAGTAACAAATTTCCATTTAACACTAGCTTGAGCTAAAGAGAATTTTCCTGTTTTAAGGGACTTGTTAGGCCAATAGAACCAGAGATAATGATTTTTTTCAGAAATCGCCGACAGTACTTTATAATTCAAGTTTTAACACTCACCCAGCTTGCTTTCAACAAATCAACATGGTGCTGAACGATCGCTCGCACAAAATGTGCCTGCAAATTCGCTTTTTGTCAAGTATGAAATGTTGAGATTTGGACATGGGCCACTAGTGTTTTTACTGTATAATTTTATCAATAAAATACATACTAACATTGACACAGAATTGTGCACATGTCTGAATTTCTTTGACCTTTGAACTTGACAAGGGACACTTACAAGTTTTCGAAAGTTAGATCAGACAACTTTTAAAAGACTGAAATGTATCACCTTAATATTGAAATAATAAAGTTGAATAACATAAAATGCAGGTTATCCACCAGTACGGGTAATCTGTTAACTTTTTTTTTCGCATATGCAATAATTGGCCAGTGCGGGTAATCAGCCATGTGGGCAAATGGCCAGAAATTACAGTAGTTTGCTGTTTTAGAGGACAAACTCACCAAACTTGTTCATACTATAATATTGCATGATTGTTGACACTCAGAATTCTGCCTTTCTGATCAGACTGCCAGACACAGTCTCAAATGGACTAAATGCTCAACAGTCAGACATTTTCACCAATATGTTACTGAAAGATTCCTTGAGTATGAGATATTTGTTTAGAAATGTCATGTGATTCCAAAATTTTACTTGGTTTTTCAGTGGGCAAATTATGAGAGGTTGAGCATATTACATTTGAAGTGATAACAATGGATTGCAGATGACATGAATGGAAACCACCATTCTCCATGTTGCAAAACAGTGAGTTTACTGGTCAGCAAAAACTAAGATGGTGGACTTGACGCACTAAGAGCACAAGCTACACACAAATTCATTTTATATATTTTACATATTCAGTTTAACTTTTTTTTTATCAAATTTAATATTAATTTTTTTTAATTTCACAGTGTTCCAACATGTTCTGGTGTTTCATGTTTAGGCTCATGCTAGGTTCTATTACCACAACCAAAAGAAATCAAACCAGGTTCAATGCAGTGGTAGGAAAATGGTCCCATTACCATGACATACAACACCCTTATATATGTTGTGGTAAGGTACTTGCCATATTTTCATAATGCAAGTGTACAACTTCATAAGGATACAATACCATGGATATATTCATACAATATGTGGTGAGCAACATATTAAGTTTCTAATCAGGTAAAACAGGTTAACATTGGTTTAATAGGCCTGCATAAAACCCTACATTAAATGTAAGAAAAGAAAGCCACCTTTCAGTTTGACATCAGTCAGGTTGAAGTCAGCAAATACTCTGCTCTAAATAGACAGACCAAATCAAACTTTCTAAAAAAAAAAAATCTAACTAAATGGACAACACTCACCTCAGTTTCATCTGACTGATTGATTTGAAACATGAATGAGTTTCTGGCCTTCTTCACATGGAAACTGAGCAAAATTTTGTAACATGACCAAACACAGGCAATCAAGTAAGCCTGAAAAAAGAAAAACATCTATTTAACCAATGCTCAGTTCTCTTTTAAGACAGTGATTCAAACTGTATGAAACAAAATTTTTATTATACCCAGGATGTATCTCTCTAATAGCATGCGAGTTACTCCTAAGTAAATGTTTTATTGAATGTAGCAAGAGCAACAGGCCAGATTAGCTTACCTTAATAGTTAGAATTGTTACAGACACCACCACAACTGTCAACATCAGAGTCTTCATGTCCATTTTGTCCACAGCATCACCAACAGGAAAGTTGGGCTTTAAACCAACACAAGGAGTCAAAAAAAGTATACTTCATTAAAATTAAAAATGATTAAGATGAGGTCAACAAAAATACTGAAAAGACATACACTTCCAACATAAACTGGAACACTACTGGCTCAAACGCAGATGACTCAAACCCATTATTTATTTCCCTTAAGAGTTTGAGTTAGCTGGGTTATACAGTACATTTTTATCTCAGGTGGTTTTGCAACAAAAGGCAAAAAACAATCAAAACCCTTGCCCCATTGTGCCAATGCTTACGTCCAATCTTTCTGAACATACACCTTTATTAAAAAGGGTCTCTCTGCAAAAAAGCCATTGTCAATTATTTTTAAGCACAAGAAGAACCACATAAAACAATTCATTCACACAACATCAGGATGACAAGATGAAAATGAAAATATAATTTAGCAATTAAATTTAACTACCAACCCAAACTTGAGACTCACATTGTTCTTTAGCATGAGTTTCAGCTCTGGTATATAACTGATTGCACCAACAGCACCCAACAGATTCACACAGAAATCAAACACTTGCATACAAAAAAATGGCAGCAGATAAGTTGGCTCACGCTGAAACATACAAAACGGCAAGTAAATTTAATCTTCTGCTTATCTCTGAGATACACTGAATACCTGACAATGTCAGACACTTGAGTTCCTAGTAATCAAGGTTTGATTCCATTCCAAACAATCTCAAAGATATAATACTTACAGTAATGGCACCATAAATCAGCAAAATTGTGATCAGAAAGGAGAAAAATGCTATGGCCAGTGCAACTGAGTTATCAGCTGAAAACATGAAACAAATTATTTTAATTTAACCACACCATGTACACTTTGTTACTGTATCAGGTGAGGAGGCAAAGCTTTTATGTTTTACTGTTAGCTTCTTTTTTTTAAAATTAATTATATTTGAAATATTAAGCAGAACTCTCTCTGAACTTTAAATTTTTAAGGCTGTTCATTTTATTCACAAAAACCTTTCTTTTGAGAAAGCAGCACAACAGATTAGAAAAACAAATAAAGAAAAAAAAAGGAAAAATACTGAAATTCCAGAATGTTTCCAGACCACAACAGCATATCAAAGCTATCTTTTCATACAAACCTGATCGTGGTGTGGTGCCATAAGTTTCAAAGTACCTCTCTTGGTACAGTTCTGGATGCAGCAACATTTGAGTCAACACCACCAAACCAGCAATGTGAATCAACTAATAAATAGAACAAAATCAACATGCCCTTGTCAGCTAATGTAGCTGCCTTTCTCAGATAAGGAGGAAATTCTTCTTCTAATGTACAAGGTGTCACAAAGTCAAAGATGGGTATTTTCCTATGGTTTGGGATGAGGGCCTTCCCAAACATCAGAGATTGAGATTTCCAGGGAAAGTGAGTCAAGATCAAAGATGACAATTCATGTGAAAGGAAGTTGGGGAAGCTAGGATGGTAAACCTTTCTGTGGATACTAATTTCTAGTCATTCACAGAACCCTGCAGCATCTTAAAATGAAGGAACAAAAATGTCACAAGGATCTAGAATCACCCAGTGAATAGATTGGATTTGATTATTGCTCGCTCTGTAGATGGTTTCCACAAATTCATAATTTAATCGTATTCTAACATGTTATTTGTAGAGAATTATATTATACGTAAGTAACAGTATTGGACAAACAAAAAATACTGGGCGTTTCAGAATGGAGGGTTCATTTCCCAAGGGAATATTGAAAAAAAGAGTATCACTTTTCTTACAAAATATCAGCAGCTCGACTTTCGGCATGCTTAAAAAACATTTTCCCTTTCAGCCATAAATATGTAATACCCATGATTAATAATAGGAACAACGCAGTTGAAATCGAAAGGGGATAAGATCAATACGCATATGGTGTGTTAGAGCGTTCGCAACTTTTGGTTTCTTTCGTCGACCGGCTTCTAATTAACCTTCAAGAATCTAATAATAAATGAAATAAACAAAAATAATTCATTGCCGAAATAAATGTTTGTAAGAAGTAGTAAATTGCTAAATGTATCTTCATCCGGAAGAATGATCCGAAGCTATCGAATCCGACGACTTACAGTGCGGAAGCTGAACTTAGAATAAAACAGATCACATGAAGCAACCAATACTAGTGTTTGAAAAGCCGGCATAAGCTTACAGCTTTCATTACAAACATCAGAACTAAATACTGAGAAGGAAAGCGTCGCAATCTCACGATTGCTTACCAGATGGCAAAATCCGAGCACAATTGTGCCCAGGCGAACGTCCATACAGCAACAACAAGTCTTCATAACCGAATTCTCACCGTCTACATCATCAGACATTCTTCTCGGTTTCATCCTTCGCCAAATTCAGAGCTGAAATCAGCGATTATCTCCCAAACTACCAGCAATATTTATCAATTTCAGTAATAGCTCGGCTAATATGGCGAAACGAAATCACAAGTACCGTAAGAAGAGACTCATGGGAAATATAACGTCATCACCTTACTGCGATGCATTGTAGGATTCATCGGTCCTCACTACCTAGACTTCGCCTGGACAATTAAGTGTTTCCTTTTCCGGTCCAGTGTTAGCGGAGTAACTCCCAAGAATAGTTTTAGGGAAAACAAGATGAAAGAAAGGCCATTTTCAGTGGCTCTTTTCTTTGGGGTTATTTGGATTGTTTTACCCTGTCTTGGTAATTTTGTTGAGCTTCCAGCGTGGGATAATCTGAACATTGGACTATGTGGATTGGCATTAATTCTATGTATTTGTGTCTACCTCACGGAATACCTCGGATTATTTCCCCTTAACTACAGGTGAGTTAATTTGAGTTTGATTAATATAATAAATAGCTTATTTTTTAGAAACCAATTACTAAGTACCTCTTTGAGGTGTTTAACACCTCGTATAAAATTATACTTGACTGTTATTAAGATAGCAGTTAAGTATAATTTTATGCATCCATCAGTTTAGAGATTAAACACACTTTCCCCTCCCCCCCCTGGCTACCCCTCAGACATTTGAACTTTTGGAGAATGAGATTGGTTCGTTTACATTTCTGCCACCAATGGGCCAAAACTGTGTATAAATGCCTTACCCAAATGCCGGATTTGATGGTCAATTCTTTTGTAAAGGCAAGATCAGCAACTATGACTTTCTTAACTTCTTAACGACCTTTTCTTCTAAGCTGTCTGAAGTTCGAAGTTTATTAATTCATAATTGCATAGCAGCTTGAAAACTGAATTGTGTATTGACACCAAAAATTATATTGTAAAAATCTAATCATCAACTAATCTATCTTAAATAAAAGGATGAAAAAAAAGCTAACGAGAGATAAGCTGCTAAAAAAGCTATCATAATACAAGCTGCAAAATTTGAAAATCCTAAAGTATAAATTAGTTGCTTTGAGACATAAAAAGATAATAAAGGTATTTTTAAACCAGTCAGTTTTAAAACGTGGCATCTTCAAAGGGTGCACATGTCTTAATGAATAGGCAGTTTCATGTGGTGCAGGTAATAAGTTATAAAGGCGGTGATTATTGTCTGCTCCCAAAAGTGAACTCTTTACCTTTAAATACCTCTATATTTAAAGATAAAACATGTGTATACCAATGGAAAGACTAGACAGTTCCAGTTCATATTTCCCACCCCACCCAGGCAAGGTTAAAAAAAAGAAAGTCTCTTGTTTATGGATGATAGTCAAATGCCTGTGGGTTGCCCTGGAGACGGGGCAAGCTTAAAATTGGTAGGCCCATAAGTTTCAAAATTCTGCCCCTTGTTGTGGACTTCTTGAAACATATGAGCTACACCCCTGTCCCGCTTTCATTGATTTCCACAAAATGAGTAAATTGTCAATTGCTCAGAAGACAGTAGATTTCTCAGGAGCTTGCGAGACTAATGAAATGATCTTCCATTTTCTTAAGCAAATTTTCCTCGCATGGAGAAATAAATTCACAACTTGGTTGGTCCATCTGCTATGGTGCACCTCTTGTGTTGTATGCCATATTGTGGTATTTGTCTGGAATGCCTCAGACAATCTTCCAACTTGTATCTCTGGTAACTTACCTGGGTCACTTCTTGAAAAGAATCATTGAAGCCCTTTTTATCCACAAGTATTCCAAGAACATGCTTCTTCTTCCAGTTATAGAGGTACAGTAATTGTTATGACTTTTTGGTCTGAATTCTAATTTCTTTAAACATGTAACACATTATTTTCACGAATAACATACCCACAACATTCAATGATGATCTATGAACACTTGAATGTTCCCTATGATAAATGTCCTTAATCAGCAATCCATTAACCTTTCTGTTTGCCCTTCATGCTTTGAAACTAGATAGTTCTAGTTTTCATATAGTTCAGATTTTCCATGCTTTATGAATGGGTAAGTGTAGTTGGATTTGGCTTCAACTTGTCAGTGACCAGAAAGAGCACAAACATCAAAACATAAAATTTTCCATTGGTATTTAATTCAGTTTAAGTGACTGTCTCTTGTTTTACCAGATTGCCATGTTCTACTGTCTTGGTGCAGTCACCCAGCACTACTGGTGTAATATTTACACTCACGGACCTTTAGCTGATAAGTTATCATCTAACTATGTGGCATTAGTGGTTGGCATACCAGTGTTTGTCATTGGTGAATCCTTAAATTTCTATCATCATCATATTTTGGCAAATCTGAGGCCTGCCGGTACATTAACTGGTTATGTTGTTCCACATGCAGGATTGTTCCATTATCTTGTGTGTCCTCATTATCTTGGGTTAGTGTCATGTTTATTATCTGTAAATACCTAGACATGATGTTGCACCTGATAAGAAAACTCTCTTGGAAAGCAGACCTGGATCCACCCAGTGCAACATTAGACCTTGCAGCCTTCACTTTTCAGTTTTCTTGGGTTCATCTTATGAAGGGGTGGTAAGCAGTCCTTCTATAGGCAACCCCATGTTAGTAGGAAGTAGGAGTAAGTTCACTGACTCATAACACTCTGAAATTTCTGCCCCTTGATAATTGTTGTAAACACAATGGTGCAGTATGACTACACTCTATCTTATAATTTCAATGTGTGGCCATCTTTCCCAAGATAATACCATTCACTGTCCAAAACCGAAACATAAAACATAACAATAATGATTGACACTGCCAAACCAAAACCTCAGATATTAATTAAAGACATTTTACATTACAACTAGAGGAAAGAAGGAGTACAATCATGGTCAATACATTTTGAGAAAATTGAACTACCTTTACAATCACTTATTTTTTCCTTTAGAGAGTTGATTGCTTGGTATGGCATGGCTGTAGCTGGTCAACATCTGGGTGTGTACTTAGCTTGGTTAGTTATGGTGTGTTACTTGTCTGGAAGGAGCCATCAAACACATCTTTGGTATCTAAAGAAAATTGAAAACTTTCCCAAGGACAGGAGAAACATATTTCCTGGAATCTTCTAACCATGGAATTGTCATGTGTTTATTTTTTCACTTTTTTATTTAAATAGTATTGATTTATTTCAAAGTATTGATTAGATGAGAGCTAATGCATTTGAAGTGTTAGGATTAGTTTAGGGAACCTGTGGAGATTGTAAGGATACTGAAGCTGTGAAAACTTTATTCTGTAGTCTTGTCAGACAGCATTTATAAAATGCATGTGAAATCAGGAGTCCTTACTCTAAGAATAACTAAGATATATTGGGGGCCCTCAAGTAAAGGCCAACTAGTTGGATATTTAAAAGTGATCCTACATATGGGAGTAGGTTTTTCAAGTTAGTGGTAATTTAAATAATTCTTAGTTTTTTATCAAATTGTTTACATATTAGTCAATAAAGTTAACGACAATCTGTAAGAAAAAAAAAAAAGTGTTTGCTTCAAGGCTTTTATGGTGTTTCCCAATACTTTATTTCTATGTCAACAGAATGTTTTCTAGAGTCCTCTTCTGTACAATGGTAAGGAGCAGCTGAAGAACTATTTAGTTCTAAGTAATAACAGTTTAAAAATTTGAAAAGCTTGGACTTCATTATTCAAAGACAGTCATGATAAAGACAACATTTACAGAAAAGTGAATTCCAAGGAACAAAGTGGTAAATATTTATTAAAATAAATATTAATGGTTCTGAATTCCCCCAAACTATCTCAGGTAGCAAAAGCATTCAAAATAGTCTAAATGGCCAACAAAATCATGACATGTATAGTCTGCTCTATGAGCTAGAAAGGTTTTTGGATCAAATGCTTGTTGCAATTCCTATTAATGATCATGTGCAACTGACTATGTTTGCTGTGGGGGAAAATGCAAGAATGGTTAATTTTTCATTCCCCAGTTTAATACTAAAATTGCATAAGTGCTAATTCCTTTGAGAGAACATTTACAGACATGAAAAATATTTCTTTGTTAGAAGTGATGCTATTGGGCATTATGGCCCATTTTGCAGGCAGAGATGCATTTTAGCCCACTCTCAAACTCATGGCTTTATTCAAGACTGTTTTGTTGTTAGTTTTTCCAGGTTTTTTATTTTCTCAATGGTTTAGCTCTTCTTAAAGTCATTTCGTCCCTCAACAAACATGTCTCTGAGTCCAACCCAAAACATATTGCTTTCCTTCAAAAAAATTGTGGGAGCAATGGATAAGAAAGCAACAAGTTGATTAAAGCATCTTGGTATGAAATGAAAGCATGTTGAGGACCACCATTGCTTCTTTTTTTTTTTTTCCGTACTCGAACCCTCTAGTGTTGTAGAATTAATACTAAAATAATATAATAATGTAATAATCACCATGTCTTAAAATTTGTACAGTCAGGTGGTAACTATGGCCATCATATAAATGTGAACCAAAACTCACAGCAAGTCACTCACAAAACAAAAAGTTTACAATACACATCTGGTAAAATTAACAAAGTATGCTCCATTTACGACCATTCAAATAATGAATGTCAATTATATTGCCAAACAAGTGTCACAGACATCTTGCATAAATTTTCATTTTTACTGAATGATATTACACTAGCAATGCCAATAAGAACTCTCAGATCAGGAATTTTACTTCTATGAAGCCCTAGTTGCAAAGAGATGGCCTTTGCTTTTTTTTCCAATTGAGAGGATACTCATTCCCTTGCCACATCTATTATTAAAAACACTTTAAAAATCTATAAATTCTTTACAAAAATTCGTAATATGAAATTAATAATATTTACAGCAATAGAGTGAGCTGTACATTACAGTATATTATTTTTACTAGTTAGAGTCCTTTTAATAATTCCATCTAACAAAAAAAATAGATGTAAAGTAAAAATCCTCTTGGCGCCTGTATAAAACTAGGGACGATGGAACCTAAAAAAAAAAGAAAACAGAATTAATTTGTTAAACAAGTCATGCCTTCTAGTTATATATTCTTCTTTTAATTACAAGAGACACTTTGAAAAAACTGTTAACTTAGAGCTGACAAGTTAATGACTAAGACAGTTAACAATCTTTGAACAACCTGTTAACTTAGAGCTAACCAGTTCTTACAATATAGAAGTTAACTATAACTATCTTTGTCATAAGCACTTGTTAGCCCTAAGTTAACAGTTTGTTCAAAGCTTGTTTACCTTCTATATCATAAGAACTGGTTAGCTCCACGTTAACCTTTGTTCAAAGATTGTTAACTGTCTTAGTCATACAAACTTGTTTACTAACAAGTGCTTATGACAAAGATAGTTAGCAATCTTTGAACAAAGGTTAACTTGGAGCTGACAAGTTTTTATGACTAAGACAGTTAACAATCTTTGAACAAAGGTTAATGTAGAGCTAACCAGTTCTTACAATATAGAAGGTAAACACGCTCTGAACAAACTGTCAACTTAGAGCTAACAAGTGCTTATGACTAAAACAGTTAACAATCTTTGAACAAAGGTTAACTTAGAGCTGACAAGTTCTTATGACTTAGACAGTTAACAATCTTTGAACAAAGGTTAACTTGGAGCTAACAAGTTTTTATGACTAAGACAGTTAACAATCTTTGAACAAAGGTTAACGTGGAGCTAACAAGTTCTTATGATATAGAAGGTAAACAAGCTTTGAACAAACTGTTAACTTAGAGCTAAAAAGTGCTTATGACAAAGATAGTTAGCAATCTTTGAACAAAGGTTAACTTGGAGCTGACAAGTTTTTATGACTAAGACAGTTGACAATCTTTGAACAAAGGTTAATGTAGAGCTAACCAGTTCTTACAATATAGAAGGTAAACGCACTCTGAACAAACTGTCAACTTAGAGCTAACAAGTGCTTATAACAAAGATAGTTAACAATATTTGAACAAAAGTTAACTTAGATCTGACAAGTGCTCATGACTAAGACGGTAAACAATCTTTGAATAAGCTGTTAACTTAGAGCCAACAAGTGCTTATGATTAGGATAGTAAACAAACTTTGAGCAAACTGTTAACTTTACACTGACAACTTCTTATGACTAAGACAGTAAACAAACTTTGAACAAATTTTTAGCTTAAAGCTGACAAGTGCTTACAACCACAACAGTAAATAAACTTTGAACAAACTGTTAACTTAAAGCTGAAAAGTGCTTGCGACCAAGACAGTAAACAAAATTTGTACAAATTGTTACCTTAGAGCTGACAATTGCTCATGACCAAGAAAATTAACAAACAATTAACTTAGGGCTGACAGGTGCCTATGATGGTTAGAGTTGTAATCAAAATGATTGGGTAATGTTATGATCTAGGGGGAAAATCAACCCAACCCAGGTCAGAATCATGTACCTAAATCTGACCAATGCATCAACCATACTGTTTAATATTTCAGGGACTCTCCAAAGATGTCAACAACAGCTGTGATTGGTAAATTACTCTACTTTTTGCTTGTCAATCTGAAAATGTAGTTTTGGATAAATTGATACAAAACAGCATAACTTCAGTCAAAAGCCTATGCTCACGAGATGTTTGTGATTTCTTTACAGTTGACTGTTCTCTACACAAGGTAAATGGTGTTATTATTTATCATCATTAATGCATTATTATTATCACCATTACTAAATAAATGGCTGACTGACACAGGACTTACCTTGTGTATTGTCTACTATCTTCATGCACTTCCATCTCTTTACTCTTGAACTCATTAAGCTCTTTGCGAATTGCAGCCTTCAAAAAAAGTAGAAAAAAATATCTCCATTCTGGTATGCATGTCATCTAACTTATGTCCTTAATTGTTTCTTAGGCCACAAAAAATTAATAATTTCTTCATACTTTTTGGTGCCTATGTGGGCAAAAAAAGTGGCCATTACTACCTGTAAATGGGGATGATGGTTAAGACAAGCACCTTGTTACTCAGTCAGATTAGTTTTTGAGTCAATCTGGGAAATCTTTACCTATTCCTGTCCTCCTATCATATTTGCAATTATTTTCTTCCAAAAATATGTTAATAAAGTTGTGGTGTATGGCCAAAAAAGTTACAAGTTACCTTGTCTTCAGGAGTCAATCTAGTCCACGGCTTGTCAGCTCTAAATATGATATAAACAAAAACAAAATGAAGTTCTCCAACATACCATAAAATCAACTCACATTACCCACATTACACATACGTTTGTAGTTTCCTTCTGTTTTAGGGCAATCCTCGAGCCAAGTTCTTTTGAGGTTACCAGTCACTGAATTTAATGTCTTATAAATTTTTGTGGTGTTAACTGCTGAGTACAGTACAGGATGCTTACAGGAACATCTACTAAAATTTACTGTTTTTAACTTTCACACAAAGAAATCAATGTTTGACAAGGAATGACAAAATTAATAGTAAATTTTTACCTTCTGTCATAGTCATGGACATCAACACATTCAACATAATCGTTAAATTTAAGAATCTTCTTTGCTCTCAACTCTTGCACTGTAGGCCTTCTACTTAACTGCAATACACAAATTTAAACAAGTTGAACTTAATTCTCTCTTCCTGCAAATAAATTGTTGTTGGCTATTTAAGAGCCTGTTTGGCCTGGTAATTATTCCATTAGTTAATCATTTCATGACATAAAATAAGCTCTCATGGAGACTAAATTGTGACACACCCATAACCAGATTTGTGTCACTGACCACATTCAAATTCTGAGGTGCAAACTGGACAAACAAAGTAATGAAAAGATTTCCATTTATTTTTCTCAACCTTTCAAAGTCCCACAAAGCCACAGGTTACAAACTAGATTTGATTTACTAGAAGTCAAAATGAAAATTGTTAGCAAATGAAACAAAATTATTCCTCTAGTACTTATTGAAAGCAATTTTTTTTATTAAAGGAATTGAAAATGTTACTTTGTAAGGTTAGGCCTACCACTGCACTTTCTAAAATGTTCTTTTGAATCAAATTAACCAGACCTTTCTAGTTAACACCCTTTTCTTTTCCTCCTTTTCTTCTTTAGCCTCTTCCTCTGAGGATGCTGTGATGTTGGCATATAATAAGTTAAACTATGGATAAGCATTCTGAATAAACCAGTCATTTAGAAAGCTACTACATTTGGAAATACAAGGTTTTTAAGTTTCTGCTGTTAAGAGTTAGAGATAGTCTAATATGTGAAGATACACTATTGCTATTGGACTTTCACATCATCTTTCCATTAAAAGTGAAGATTACGCAGAAAAGAGGAACCCGTCTTATACTTAATAAACCATACATGACTAGTTTGGAACAAAGAAAAATATTTTAAAATGAGGAAGTGTTATACTGGTACATGCATTTACACAAAAAATGAGGTTAAAGGCATCTCAGTTGGACCAGGGTAACACTATCGAGTGGATAGGTCTTTGTTTCATAGATTGCTATGTGATTGCCTACATAGCAAAGAAGAAGAGAAAATGCAATGTTACTTTCCTTCTTGTTTAATATTGTACATGGAAATAAAATTTACAGCCATGCATATTATTTTTCTCACTCCTTACATTTTGCCTTCTTCAAAAAATACATTGCAACTAATAAAATGTATCATTATATTACTTATAAATAAAGTCACTCACATTTCAAAATATTTCTTTCCCTAAGTTCTTGTGCAGTAGGTCGTGTGCTCAGCCGTCTGCAAGGATAGTATAAAAAGAGTAAAACAAGAGATAGTAAAGTGATGTTAATCAACAAATATGGGGAATAAGATATTACCAACTCTAAGTTTAGCCTTAAAAATATTAAATAACACTCAAATCAATACAAAATCTACAATTTTAACAAAAATACAGAAGCTGTCTATCAATGGCTACAATAGAGGTCAACATGCTCGAGTTTTTGAGAACTCAGAAAAAGGTTACAAGAAAAATTTGAAGCATTCTGCTCTTACGTATTGTTCACAACATATATTTTTTGCTTTGATAGCTAAATAGAGGAGTTTGTTCCAAACACTTCAAACAAAACATTAAGTTGGGTGCTTCAGATGCTAAACATATAGACAACTACTACATCTAGATTTTATCACAAAAGAAATATTTACAAGTTACTTTTATCCATAAATTTCCAGGAAAGGTCATGCACTTGTTTAAACCATAGTGCAAATACAACTGAGTAATATCTGAGGTATGCAGCAAACTTACAAATATTTAATACATCTTGAAAGAAAATAGTAGAAAGCTACTTCTAGATTCCACAACAAGTCACAAAACATGCTACTGTTATCATTTGTGCCATTATGAAGGAGGATGAACATCTGTTCTACAAAACATTCCAGATAATACACTGTTCCTAGTACAATGTGTGACATAATGGATGCTGCTACATCTTGCATCACTCCACGATGTCACAGAAATATTAATCAATCATAATTGTCTCCCTCCAAAGATGTTCCTTCCTTAACTATCTGACATTCACTTTCAAGGTGTACTTTGCATTTCATTACTGTTGTCCTACATATCATATTGGGCTGTTTATTCTGTACATAGAACACCTGTCATTAATTATCACCAGTGATTAACAATTAAATACCGACATACAGAAGGAAGGTATTTATTAATCATTTGTACAGAGCTCACATACACCACGTGTCTGACTCTATTTTGTTACAGTCATCTAAACATAAACAGAACAACGCACTGCCTTCCTTTCAAAAATCCTTTCAGTCATATTGATGGCAATTTCATAGGAGGAAGAAAGATTATTTTCTTTAGGCCTCATTAATGCTTGTCTGATTTATTCAGCAGGTGGCAGGGCATGTAGACCAATCAAATATCTCTGTATAACTTAACACCTGTTCAAATGGTTACCCTTAATTGAGTATTTATAGGAATCTGTTCTCAAATTACATAAGAAATTTGGACCAACAGTTCAGTAAACACAACATCATCATGTAAATTGCTTAAAGAACATATGGAATAAACTTTGGATAGAACACAAGTCAAACATTTTAGTCTCAGTTCTTTAATTGATAGAACAGCATGGCAATTTTTCTCAATGATAGGAGGAAATTTTGATAAACTAAATTTCCATGTACAAAACCAAGGGCAAAATACTACTGATCAATTTTACAAAGAGAGGAGAGTTATGTTCCATGACAAAAAGAAAAGAGGCAATTAAACTCACCTTATAAGTTTAGTTCCAACTTCATTTTTCCTCTCTAATTTTTCTTCCTCTGTTTTTGCTTGGAGACAATTTGGAAGAAAAATGATGAATTATCATCAACATAACAAAGTGACTTGCAAACAACAAGAAATCAAGAACTCATTAAATATAGACATGGTCATATCCAAAAGACAAGTTTTATTATCATGATAATTATAAGTTGATAATGATAGTTTAATTTTTTCAAATCACCATCTGCTGTTTATATTTTTGTTGTTGTGAAGTGTGTGCAGAAATTACCCAGCATCCTACAGAGGCTACCTGTACTTCCCTTTAAGGCCTTTTATTCCTTTGAGTGTTTTCCAGACTCTATTGCTATGTGTTATATATTTTGGAATTCTGTGGCCAGGTAGGGAAGAAAGCCAATGAAAATGACAGGCAAATACAACTTATAAATGATATGGAATTGCCTTCTTTCTTGTTAACAATCAACATAATGGAAAAAAGTAACTGTGCCTTCAACTTTAAGACAACAAACTTCAACGCATCATCATGAACAATGGTGAGATTGCACTAAGAGCAAACACATGCAGTACAAAGCAAAGTAAGTCTGTAGCCTGGGCCAAAACACAACAAACAACCTCCATAACATGTGACCAATTCATGAATTATGTGCTTATCTACTGATTTTTCATGCCCAATATATGTATTTCTTATCTGCATATTTTTCGCAAAGAAAAAGAAATCATTCAAATGAAAGTTAATATGATGACATGATAAAGTTGTGATGTATAGAATTGAGCTATTTAAGAATTAGAAACCCATGACAGGTTTCTCATAATTTAAAAAAGTACTGTGAATATTCATCCTCTGTCAAGACTGGAGAGTTTACATTTTACACTTTTAAAAAGATAAATTTACAACAACCTTTCCTAATCCAGAAGGTTGCAAACTATGGATCACTGTTAAATTCTGAAGTACTTTGAGCTGGCCTTTATGTTAATATACCTCATCTCACAAATTACAGTATAACTAAGTTTTAAATGTTGAAATAAGTGACTCCTTGCAGCAAGGCAAGAACTTAATTCGCAACCAATAACAGTCCACACTAGGGCCATTAACAGCAGCATTTACTTGTCATGTTTAAAATGTGAAAGGAAGTTTGAAAGCTACTTTCTAAGAATCAAACTTGATTTTCTGGCTCTTTTGGTTAGTACACCAGGGTAAATGGGATTGAAAAATTACATTAATCATGACAATCATAACATTGCTCACACATTTATCCACAAAAAAAACTTCTCCAAAAGACTATCATTAACTAACAGGAGCCATGTCTCAATCACTGTTTTAAAATGTTTGAAAAAAAGTACTCATTGCTTAAAATTGCCAGTGATTATAATCTACTGGTTATATCATCAGCAATATCAATTCTTACAATAAAATTAGAAGATATTTACAACCAGCTTACTTAAATCCAGCACTCCAGACTGAGTTTGTCCAACTAAAGTGACAATTTGACGAATAAAAATCATTTTGCATTCTGTAGAATTCTTCATTCAAAGAGTTCAAGTTTTGGATTATCAATGTCAAAAATATGGCTTAATCCTGATGGACAAGAAAAGCAGTCTGGCCTACTCTTTTTTCCCTGTTTTTACACCAGGTGTAACAAAGAATGGCTTTCAAGTAATTGGAGGGCTGGCTAATTGGTATTGATCAGTGAAAGGACAGGTGTTTTGAGAATAATTATGTGTCAAAGTAAGACAAAACTCATGCACAATATCAAACATTCATTCAAATCTGCTACACAAATTCAACATTTTTACTCCCAATTCAACATTTCTGATAACGTGTGCAATTTTTCCAGAGATCTTCCTTCCTGTGGTCCATAAAGATCCACATTTACACTTATTTAAAATAGAAGTTATGTTATTCAATTCATTAAACAAATAATGAAGCAAATTTAAAAATTATGTGCTCTGAACACCAATCGCTGGTCACTTCCTTTGAGTATTGGAAAGATTGTGCCACAAATAAAACCCACATTACCAAAGCTAAGCTGTTGTTCCTTGTAGAAAAAATATAAACAATAACATAAATTAACTTTGGCCTATGAGTAAAGCTATAACAAAGAATGTTACTAACCCCTGCAGGGCTTATTGAGGCACTGAAGATTAAAAATATTAGATAAAAGAGACTCATTTTTATTTCTAAAATTTCCTATAAACTTCACTCTGAAATGATTTTATTACCAATTTCATACCTAGGTATTGAATCTTTAAGGAATTTTTTTCAGCTTTTCATTGCTGCTTGTTTAAATTCTAAACCTAGGCTTGTACAGCTGATATATTGAAAATCTAAAATCAAAAAAGTAATATCCAAAACTGTAAAGCAATTATTTATTGTTATCTTTTAAACTACAAATGGTAGTCACATACTTAGACATATATTATGCAATATGCAGTTTGATTGGATATCATGCAGTGACGTCATGTATGTAAATATCTTCCTTCTTGAGCAAAAGGGGAAAAAAAGAGACAACCTCTGTTATACACAGTTGATATTAGGCAGTCCCAGCCACAGTGAAATATCATTTGGCCATAAGTTTATATTTGATTCTCTTGGCCACCTTTCAGTTTTACATTAATGTTATACAGATACCAAAGTATAAAATAAAACAAAAAAGGTTCATGTATTTTCACAAATTAAATACACTTTGTACTAACTGGAGCAATTTGAAGCATTTGCAGACAGCAGTTGTCAGTCATATCAGAATATTTCTTTTTTTTCGAGGTCTACTTTCAAATCTGTGGAAGGTTCTCACTGTTTTTGACCTATAACTCCTAAAACTCCTAGTAAGTAAACAACATTTAACCTTGTGGCAGCCACGCACAGAGAATAATATGTAATATAGAGACTTGTTCAATTTTCATAAATCAAGGCTGACAAATAGATTTACTGGTAAAAGTGAAGAACAGCTCCTGAAAGATACTGTTGGCCAACTGTTGACCGACATAAAAAACGGTTTTTCTAGTTCCCAATCCCCTTAATGCACTGCTTCCAAAACCCTTTTAAGAAAGTCTTTATTTGGTTAGAACTATTTGACCTGTTGGTTCATTCACTTGCAAAATGGAAAAAAAGAAGCCTTTTCATGTACAAACAAGGATATAAAAAATAGGTACTACATTTACTACTAAATTTTGGTACTTACAGTCTGAGAGTGGGTTAAACAAGCTTATTTTTACCGTTAAAACAGAATCAAGTAGTTAGGTATGAACAATGCAAATAACATGTTTCTATTTACTGTTTTCAGTCAATTTTTGGTCTACTAAACACTGTTGGCCACCTGTCAGTAATGTGCAGGTAACCTGTCAGCCGACAGTTGACCGAAAGGTTACCTACAGTTGAAAATGGGAACCATGGTTCACTATTACTGATTTACTAATGTTATTCACATCAAATATAACTAGACTCTTGATAAACTTGATGAAAAAATAGTCAGCAAAATTTCTTAACATTGGGTATTATTGCTATCATTCTTTGTAAAATATTACACAATACTGTAATCTTGAAAGATATTAATAAAGCTATACAGTTATTAACAGAACTATCCCACAAATTTCCACAGAATATGTCTTGGATACATGACAAAACTTCACAGTCTCATCAATGTATGCTATTACAAATAAATAATTTTCCACTTACTTGGCAGTATGTTTCTGGCCTCAAGTTCACCTTGACTTGGTCTTGTTCTCAATTTTTGAGCCAAACTATCTGTCCTTTTAAGCTTAGATGCTAAGCCTAAAAAATCAAAAAAAAAACAAGGCAGTTCACCCTTTTGAAAAGAATGACAATTGCAAATTGCAAAACTTGGAGCAGTCTGTATCTGGGATCTGGATAGGAAAAATATGGACTGCTGAAGTGTGGAATTGGCCAATCAGATTTAAGGATTTAGGATTCTGGACCACTGAAATGCTTGAGAAAAAAAATAAGAATTTGTAATTTTATAGGCCACAGCACCACTTTACTACAAAGAGGATTATTTATTAAGCACTGTTTGCATACATAAAGGAATAAAAAAAATACTGTATGCAATAATACCATATTCCCACATGTATAGGCTGCACTTTTTTTCCAAATACATTTTGTTGAAGAGGATTATTTATTAAGTACTTTTATAACATAGCTAGTAAATTTGTCTAATCATATTCAATTGTGCGAGCATACTTCATATTCCTATTGTGCATATTCATGATATCAGCAAACAAATCCCTCGAGAAAAAAATTTTCCATCAGGTTGAAAATGTTATAAAACAATTGGTTCGTACATCAGCTGTGCGTTCATCGAGATATGAAGCACTTGAGAAGTTTGGAGAGCACTCAAGATACTAGAGTTGCTCTCAGCTACACCTCAAGCAACTCTCGCACATCTTTTGTGCTCTCCAAACTTCCCAAGTGCTTCATATCTCGATGAATGCACGCTGATGTATGAACCAATTGTTAATTTGCATACATAAAGGAATAAAAATAATACTGTACACAATAATACTGTATTCACTATTACTGCAAACAAATCCCCCACACTTTTTTTCCAAATAAATTTTGTGCAAAATGGGGGTGCAGCCTATACATGGTATAACTTAAATCTTTACCCCAGTTTCCCTCTTTCATCAAGAGGCAAGGCCGCTAAACTATGTTTGCTCATGTCCCTGATCACGTACACAACTTCACGCGATCATTACTGAGGAAATAAACAAAATGTTAGGGTGCGTTCCTTTGGGAGAATCCAGATCAGGATTTCTGATCTGTGGCGTTCCTTTCAGGCAAATCCATTTTCAGATCAGTGATCTACCAAATCCACTCTGGACAAGGATTCATTGGATCACTGATCTGCGTGATCTAAAGACTGATCCAACACGTTCCTTTGGTCAAAGGATCCAAATTTAATCATTTTGCCCAGCAATGCTCAATTTCAAACAGGTAGGTACTTCATAAATTGGCCGGAAAGATTGTTGGCAATCGCTCTACAAATTCTGCGATAAAGGCAAAATAAAATCAATTTTGTAATGTTAAATCAATTGGCCACTGATTGCAGGCATTCAGGGTTCCCAAGTATCCATATTGTAATTAATACTTGCTTCTGTTTTAATTCCATTGTTTGAGTTTACCATGAAAAAATGTGCTTCTAATAACGAGCCATTCTGGGAAGAGCTCAGTAACCCACATGCATACTAAAGTCTTGAAATAGCGCACTTTTTGGAATTCTCTGAGAGCTCGCCTAAAACTCCATTCCTTTCATGCACCACGATTTGTGTGATCTTGGATCACAAATCCAAATGCGAATCCTCCCAAAGGAATGCACTCTTAGAATACTTGGAACACAAATCTAGCACAAATTACCCAGGTATCTTTTCTTTAATCTTTTCTTTTACCTTTTTTTGAACTTTAAGACTGTTTTGAAGATATGACTAGCTATTGTTGTTTGCATTTGCAATGTTTGTTTAATCGATGGCATACTATGTCAGATTATTTATTGTGATGAATTTTGCGACATAAACAAATATCTCTTGGCAGTATGTGGCATTTGCCAGGCCTTTCGCCCTCTGGAGAAAACATGAAATCATTTTTTTTCAAGAAAATATGGTCAAAAATCAGGGTGCTACACAAATGCAGCCTATACACAAATGTGGCCTATACACGTGTGAATTCGGTAGACCTCTCCTACATTACTCATTTTGTTAGGAGTAAACATTTAATCATAAAAAAGGTATTTGTTCAAGAGAAAGCACTGGCATTCTGGGATCAGATTATTTGTGGCGATGGTAAGAAAAAGTGCAGTCTTGTGAACAATTGTACTTCAAACTGACATCTCCTATACAATTTGTGTACCAATCTTTCCATCAAGATGGACCTCATACTCACCAATTATGTTAAGACTTTTCCAAAACTGAAGCTTTGAGATTAGAGGTACAGCTTACTGAACAAACTGTTACATGAATATAATTCTATAATGAGTCCAAAAACAATCAAATTCAATACCTGTAACAATTCCTCGATTTTCCTCCTCTTCCTCTGAGTCAGAAAAGCTTCCTTCACTTCCTGAACTTGCATGTTGCAAACTTTCATTATCCGAGCATTCTCCTTCACCACTAGTTTTTTTCCCAACACTTTGAACAACAACAAATCTACACAAAAAAGTTAAATATTTATCAGTTTACGATTTACATATAGGAACCTTTTTCAAGCCTGGTGATGAAAGTGAATTCAATTTTAGCCTTTTTGTTGTAAAGTAAAAGGTCCAAAGCTATGACCTGCAACTCACTACAATACCTTGGAAGCATCTTCCACTGATCAAAGGGGGTAAGTTTCAGAAGAAAGTGTGGGCTTGTGTCAGTGGGAGAGTATAACTGGGTAATTTGGTATCATTTACCAGATGGATAATGCACATTGGTACAAAAGTTTCAAAGCTAACATTTTGAGCACTAGCAATTTGTCAGATTTGTCCATTTGCTCTGACGAGGGGCCAGTTGTTTACAATGAATTAACACACAATTGGATTAAGTCCAAGGTAGCTAAAAGCTAATTTTATTCATAGAAAAAATCATAATGCAAGAGAATTGTGTGGAAAATATACTGCCTGTGGCATTTAGTTCCATGTGAATTCTTTTCAGTGGTGTTGGACAAAGCAGTCAGAATATGCAGGTTGTTTACATAGAAATGACACGTGATGGAGTGAAGTCAAACTGGAATTTGATTGGTGGAATACAATCAAGAGTAAAGGAGTGGAAAAAATATGTTTTAACATAAAAATGATACAAAAAGGTTAAATGTGAACCTTTCATATCCCAATAAATCTTGACATTAATTGACAAGGCTCCCACAAAGGCCACAAACCATTACACTTGTCAAACAAATTTTATGGTTTATGTCCTTCTTTGTGCACAGCCCCCTGATTCCCTGACATCATTTGCAAGGGTATCCAGTCAAGTTGCCGACAGTTCAACTCGCCAACGCCAACTCACCAACATTTAAAATCGAGTAAGGCAAGTTGGCAAGTTGGTCTTTAATCCAGTACAACTTATTAGAAGATAGACATATAAAAAAGTAAAAGATATATAGTGAAAAAACAATTTTGTTTTCTTCCAACAAAGTTTATAAGGATCTCATGGTGAATAGAGCAAGGTAAACATCGCCAATGAATATAAAAGCTTCAGACGCGAATGAGTTATTGTGTGACAATACTGTAAAGACTCATCATGTCAGTTGATCAGATTACTTTAAGAAAACTTAGCTTTCTAGACAAGATCTTTAGTAAAAAAACAATCTTCTTTATTTCCAACAAAGTTTATAAGGATCTCAAGGCAAACAAAGCAAGGTAAATGTCGCCAAAGACCGAAAAAGCTTTAGATGCGAACGAGCTATTGTGTGACAACAACACATCTGTAAAGACTCATCATGTCAATCAGTCAGATTTTTTAAAAAAAAACTTGGCTTTCTAGACAAGATCTTAAATAAAAACCAATTCTTTTTATTTCTGACAAAGTTTATATGAGATACATACCCTAATGCAGCAATCTGATTGGTGTGGGCAACATACCACTCTACGTGCTAACATGGAGGTTTTATTTTTATACACACATACACACATATATATATATACAGTGTATATATTATACAGTGTATATATATATATACAGTGTATATATATATACAGTGTATATATATACAGTGTAAAATTCTGACTATCGTAAAACAGTGCTCAATACTTAGGAGTAGAGCGATGTATATAATGTGGGAGGAAAAAGATAAATAAACTACAAGTTCATCCCTACAGGCCTGTTTTGTGGTTGGTTAAATATATATATTTATAACACCAAACTGGCAGATTTGGGCAATTTAAGTCAAACTGAATAAATCTTCATGGATTTGACAATTTTGGCAAATTTCAGTCAAGATTCATCAGAGCTAAATCAGCTTGGTGGAATTGACAATTTTTAGTTAATTGGTCAAAACAAAATTAGCTTAGCAGATTTGACGATTTTGACAAATATTCACCATTTTCATTACTGCATGATTTCTGGACATACACTGTATCTTGCTGGCCAACTTACGTTATCGACTCAGTTAATAATACCAAATTACTCCATTTTCTTATGAGATTCTTGTATAAAGAAGATGATTATCTTTCAATCCTATTATTCCTTCCTTTTTTTGTTTTTGTTTTATTTTTTTAATTATTAACCAAAGGCAGCAGGAATCTTAAATCTTAGTCTATTAAGATAGTTGATAATTATGACATTGGCAAATACTGCCCTATGACCTTCTGGCCCTAATTTTTTAAAGAGTCAAAACATTTAAGTCACCAGAAGCCGCAAACTGTGTATAGTTTGTTTCATGACCTTAATCTAGTCTAGTACATAGCATGACTTTCAATGTTGTAGCATCAACTGTATTACCTTGGTTGTTGGCCAATAGAACTACAATGTCTATTATTTTGAGTTTGAAGGACTGTCTGTTCAATTGTTGAACTGTCTCCAGTGTTTCGACGAGCTGTTACAATTAAAGAGAGGAAATTCGTCAATCTGCATACTATCAACCTCACTACATAGTATTGTCCTCAGTCGTTAACTGCAATTTATAGCTAATGAGTAAAGAGGAAGAACAGTTGTTTCATCAGTACAGACAGACCAGGTTGGTTTTGGGGCACAAATGGATTGGTGCTCAAGGTCAATGTAAACAGTACAATTTTCTTCTTTTTTTATCATGCCATCTATCAGCCCATCTCACCCCTACAATTCAGTAGTCTAATGTAAACTACAACAAATTGACAAGACTAAAAGTATATAAAATACAAATGTAAAGCAATTCAAGCATGTTCTGAAAAAACGCAACATACTACGATCTCAAGCACTGTAAAAGATTAATTATTTATTAATCAATTTTTAAACAATTTCAAAACAAAAGAAGGCTACACAGGCCTATGAATAAGAACTATGTACATTACCTCCTAATAAACATGATTTAACCTGTTCTATTGCATTCAGTAGTTAAGATAACATCATCTCACCTAATTCCTGAGCCAGCTGGTCCATCATACTCAAAGTATCTAATTGTTGAACTTGGAAATCATTCTTGATTTGATTTCCAGCAGGTAGATTGTCTCGCTGTTGAAGTGGAGTTCTCAAAGCACTCCTTGGCTGACCTGATTTTATGGATTTCTCTTCACTTTCATTGGGCAGCCTGTTTTCCAGTAATGGACCATTACATTGGACTTCACCTGAATCATTCTCGTTTTCTTTCTCTGAAAATAATGTTTGATTGATAAAATTTTAATGTAATAATAAGCAAGTAAACAAGTACAAGATTATAAAGACATGTTAAAATAGTACACATCCAAAGAAAGCTAACTGAGAGAAGTCTAATTCGGTTAACTAAGATCAGTTCTTTGTGTAGACTAATGAAAGAGCTTAACTGTATCCTAAACACCACTGCAGGTTTAATGACAGAATATAGTCCTGTCTTGACTGCCTTTCTGCTTTCAATGGTTGCAACAATGGTATTCAAAACAAGAACAGCACACAAATAAAACTCTTAATGAAACCAGCAAACAAAAATGCTGAGCATTTTACCATTTCCCTTCTAAGATCTCAAAATTGCTCAGGGTTTTGCTTATGTTGTAATGGAAATCTTAGCCCTTTAAATCACTTATTTAAAATTGATAGCTGATTTGCTATGTATCAGGAGGAAGTAAACATTAACAATACTTAAAAATACAGTTAAGCCTGACAAATGGCCAATGCCCAAAACATCACCTTTCCAAATTCTCCTAGTTAGTTACTTGGTAATTTAATTCAAATCAACTACATAATGATCATCAATTAACCATGTGAGATGCTATGATTCAAATGTATTCAAATCTAAACTTAACAGGTTAGATACTCTGATTTAAAATAAACCAATTTAAAACTCAAACTGTTTTTCTATATTAAATTATCTTTGATTTTTTTTTTGTAGCAAAAGCTATATTATTGGTCTACAACTCATTTTCTAAGTTTCCATTGACACAATATATCCCTGAATGTTTCTTGTAAAAACTTGGTAGTCACAGCAGACTATAAAGTTCACCTTCAGATGTGACTGGAAGGATTCCTTTCTTTATCAACTCATCTCTGTTAGTGCGTACCGATAATTTTCTTTCCAGATCTGAGAAGAGAATCAATATATATTATCACACAAGAAAATAACAAAACAATTTATGTCAATAACTTGGATGGTATAAATAATGTACTTTACACAACTTAACTGTTTTTCAAAATATTTCAGTAAAAATAATGTAATACTTAACCAAGTTTAATGGTGAGATATTCCCTGCCTTTCTACATCTTGAAGGCTATTTCAAATCCTTGTGGTCAACAGTTTTATATGTATTGCTCATCCAGACAAGACACCAAAATAATCAAACCACATTATCATCACTCTGGAATGACTTGTAGTTAAAAGAAATCTATACACTGCTTTTATAAAGAATGTGATCATATCATTTTGTCACCTAGTACTACTACTTAAAGTCACTAAAATAAAGGCTAGAAGTTGGAAAACATATAATAGGAATTCCTTCTTGTGCTAGAAATATATTGTAAAGTAATATAATGCTGGTAAAGCAAAGAACTGCGGTCAAGTGATCTTATGAATTTTGAACAATCAATGCGCCAATGAAAGAGTGTCCAGGTAAATAAAAGAACAAACTAAAGTTCTTCTTCTAACAGATCTCAAAATATCAAAAACACATTCAAAATATCACAAAAAATTGTAGTTGTGATCCAATTTATCACTTTCCTACAGCAAAGGACAATATCATAAAAATGCAATAATAATTGAAGCAACATATGCAAATAGAAATATCTATGACAATATAATTTCTCTGTTAAAAATGTTTTGCAGTTACAAAATGCATCAAGTCTATTCCTGATGTAATCACTCAGAGGAAGGTCCTGCTGAGACCTTTTAATGGTTCTGGAACAAGCGATTATTATTTTTTCCAATCTTGCCTCACATTTTTAAATCTGACCAAGAAATTAGAAAAATAGACCATTTTATTCGCTTGGGAACCACAAAACATAAATTCAAAATGAAACTTTTCATACATTCAAAATATGTAGGAAATAAAAAGCCAGACTGAACCACACAACATGAAGGGAATCAGAGAGACTTTTTCCCCTGTTGTCATTTTCATGTTGTTGAGCTCACAAAAACATTTAGCACTATGAACCTACCCAACACCCTTCTTCAGGGAAGTGAAAGGTAATTACAATCTTAAGCACTTTCATATGCATTATACACAATAATTGATCACACATTGAGCTATATTAATTCGACCTTAAGTTGATAACGGTATTAGTAAAAATAATTTAGCCCCAAAAATGGTTAGGAGAAAAGTTCAAATAAATCAAATACATCCATAAGTATCAAAAAGAGAAGAGACTCGGTGTTACTAAAATTTAACCCAAGCATTAGAAGGAAATTGTTAGCTTCATTAGAGCTTTTTTTTTCCTCAAAGCCATTAAACAGAAAGGAATGCATGTTTGATGAATTGAATGATATATGTAACATTTAATTTGGAGAAATTTTCAGCCAAAGAATAAAAAATTATCCAGCACAACCAGACCAAATCACATTGTTGTGCGTGTCGAATCAAAATTTGATTTCGTTTATATCAGATGTCTAGTAAAAAGGATTACATTGCCGTTGAAATATTTTCAAAATAAATATTTCAGAAAGAAAAAAAATCCAATTTATTAAGCGTGGCAATATGTGGCAAACACAAATATTTGCAAAGAACCTACCAGAACAGTTAAAAAAAAAAAATGACTCAACGACCCCTTTAATCGAAGGTCCAAAATGCGGAATTAGAGGTACGGTTGTAATTCCTTTCAGGCTCAAACTTCCCAGTGGTAATCAATCAGAAGGAACTAAGATGGAAGCTAATAGCAGGAAAAATAAATGCTTTCGAGAGGAACGAATTGTATAGGGCTGAGCACATACCTACAGCCTGTTCTCGGTTTTCCATAGGTGAAACGTCAACTTACACCTTCTAAAAAACTGAACAAATAGGGGCCACAAAAAGACAAAATGAAACATTGCTTACTTTGTGAAGTGGTGATGAACTTCTGACTTTTCTTTCTCCTTCGCCATTTCCACGGTCGAAGTAATCTTCCTATACTCACTGCCAATTTGCTTCGTCGCACAGGAGGAGGTGTACTCGGGGTAGAGTTTGCACTTGCGACAGAACTGTCAACTTCCGTGGAGTTTATAAACGCTGGTGTTCGTCTTGTAGGCACAGTATTCCCGCCATTCATGACTATGGTCATCTCTCTGCGACCTGGATCACTGTTTGAACGTTCTCGAGAACTATTTAAACTACCAGAGGGCGAAGTTCTGCCATCATCACTTACCTCCATATTTTACGTTTACACGAATGGCGATGGTATGGGTTCCAATCCTACGCGGTGAACAAAGATTTGTAACGCCTGACAGTAGTGTCCTCATCACTTCCGCTGGTAGGCCGGCCGAGCTGCTTCTTGGAGGGTAAAACATTTTAATAAAACTTTCGGCCAAGTAAATTTTTGGGCAAAAATTATTTGAAACTTCTATTTTTGACCTTAAAAATATCATGAAGCAAATAGCATCTCCCGTGAGAGGAAATTGACAGGCATATCTCAATACCACGCCCGAATAAGATAAACTCCATAAGCGTACTTCCGGTGATCGCGGAAATTATTGCCACTTTTTTCTGGGTGCAGTCCCGTGAACATAAACTTAAAACCAGTTTCTAACATGCAAAAATATATTTCCTAAAACTTAACTTGTATTATCAGCATACTGGCATTTAAGATCCATTTTCTTTTACGAGATGAGAACTCTAAGTAGTCAACCTAACCACCCACCCCACGTGCAAAACAATACCAACCTACAAATAACTCAAGTAGTTTTTATTTGATGCCTTTTTTTCCTTTTTTTTTTAAACCAAAGATAAATCTTGATAAGAGTACTCACGCTCGCTTGAATTGTGTAGGCTAAACTGCTGACGCTTTGCTCCATGTTATTAGTTCAAATTACAGTATCAGCAAAGGGCTGAAGCCTGATAATGTCCAGAAATAATTGTGTTATCCTTTGGCTGAACCCCTACCTATTACGACTTGCCATAGTGTAATATAAAGAGCTAGTACAGTTACAATCCATTTTGTGAGGTTTGATATCATTGCTCCAGTTCTCAGTCTATTTATTACAATCTTGTACCCATAATTAGACACACTTAGCTTGGCAGTTGCATTTGATTTTAAAATATTGACTGCAGAATTCCCCAGAAATACAGACTTCCTACTGGTTTTGGCATAAACAAATCTAGTCCAATTTTTGGATTGCACAAGAAAATGACAATTGACTATCTAGGGAGGGGCTGGGATGGGCTTCTTTGAGACAGGATGGGATAGGGAATTGCCAAGTAGCCTGATAAGTATCACGAGAGGGATTAGGGCAACCTTGGCACAGGAAGAGAGTAACGAAGATGTAACATAATGAAATGAATATGAAAGCCATCTTTGCAGTAATGAAATCAAAACCAATGAGCTTCATTTATTATAATTATAATGAACCAGACAATTAATACAACAATTTCTATAATTACCATCTGAACAACTACACATAGGGATTACAAATACAGAAAAAATTAAAAAACAAAAATAAGTCTTGAAGAAAGATATCCCCTTTTCCTCTAAGTTACATAATTTTTTTCCCTGAATGGAATACAAGAGGGAGTGAGAACATGTTTCAAGCACTTAGGATTTTCACACCAACACAACATTTACAATAACCTACTCCCTTGAATAAGAATAGCATAACCTCAGTTTTCAAGTCTGACTCCTGGTTTTAGATTCTATATATTTTACATAGCATTTCACAATGAGCCAATATCAACTCACAAAGGGTTACCAGAACTTCTACAAATGTTGGGTACTCTCACAACATTCTTAGCTTCTGGATCTCAGCTATCATTCGTTTGCCTTCTTGCATGATATCCAATGGAGACACTCCTGCAGCTGTACATTTCACCCGGGTTTCATCCTGTAAAAAATTAGGACAAGGTCACCTTGCTGTGATTGAATCATGAAACCTCAAAAAAAACAAAAACAAAAAAATAAAACGAATTGCCTAAGTACTGATAAAAATGTGTTAATTATATCAAGTGTTTGAATTTAAAGGATCTCTTTCCAAATTGATGAAAAGTGAACCATAAAATTTTATTCTTTCTACTGCCTCTCCCCTTTGAGGATTTGGCATGGACTCTTGCACAGAGGAGGATGTATTTCTAAAAATCACCAAAAAGCCACCAAGAACTTATACTTGAAATATAGGTAGCAAATACATTTAAGTGAAAAGCAATAACAAACACAGCAATGCAATATGTTCTAGTTGTGCCTAAATTTTTAAGGAACACCCTTACATTGTATGTCTCCATCTTTGCTCGAATCTTGAAAATGTATGTCTTGAAGTTTGCCTCTTGGAAAATTTGATCAAAGGAACGCTCATCCCCCTTCAAAGAACAAAAAAAAATAATAATAATAACTTGTTACATTTAAGATACAGTATTGTACAAAGGTCTTTCTACACAAGATGGCATTGTTCAAAAGATCTAAAACTAGGACATCTATAGCAAATTCAAATTGAAATAAGGACCACTTTAAGAATACAATGGAGCAATCTGCTTTCAATCAATCCTTTGGTGGTCTTAAAATAGTGTTTGAAAAAAACAAAACAAAACAAAACACCTTGTCTTACTCACCGAGTCTCGCATCTGACCCAGTTCATTTGCAGTTATTTTCAGAAGCAACTCAGCTGTTTCCTGGAAACAGGTAACCCAATGGTTACCAGTGAAATCAGCCAAGTTTGTCTGAGTGGGGATGAAAACATGACATCAAGAAAACTCAATGATTATAGGAAAGCATCATCAGTAAAGTCTTAAAATAAAACTCACTAATAACATCAAGCGATACTTGAAGTTAGGGTAGGTCTTGTTACACTTCTCACAGCGATAATTATCATCTCCCTCATCAATAACCTTCTTGTTACATTCTGCAGTAGGGCATGCCTAAAGAGGAAAGACAGAAACTTTCACAGAAGATGTCATCTACTTTCACAAAGGATATAAGAAAGGTGTTTATACTGGCACAAGGAAATGAAAGGAGGAATCATTTATTTGGATTGCTCAGGTCTACATGATTTAAAATAACTTGCAAAAGTACCATGTCAATGATAGAAATTACACTTTTAAAATCAGCAAAGTATCAATTTTCCTTCTTCAAGAAAGTTCTTAAAGAAAAATTGTTCTTTGCTTAGAGATGAAATTAAACAAACATAGCAAATTGTAATTATTTTTCTTACCTTGTACAAACAGTTGTCTTTCTTCATGTACAAAACAGTGGCCTTTGATGTGAAATAGTCAGCCTGCAGAAATCAAACATAATCAAAGAATGAAATAACCATGAAATGAGATTGGCCAGGTAAGAGTAGTACTAGAAACAACAGTTTGCCAGAGCAGTAACTGATCAGATTATCAATGACTATGATCACCCTATGATGCTACATGTAATGTTCAGTCAGGTTGTTGGAATGTCAGAGGTTGCTACCAAAAACAGTGATTTTCTATGCAATGCTACCTCAGTCACAATGCATGATCAAATGTTACCCATAGTCTCATTCATCATCAAAATTTACTATTTATGAGCCTTCAAATATGAATTCATCATCATGCAAATAAAATATGAAGCAAACACTCTAAGTACTTTGTTACCTTGTCCCCCATACCAAGGTTTTCATGATCCATCTGAAAGAAGGTTTTGTAACCACAACCTGATGGAAGAAAACATCAACAAAAAAATTTTTGTTTTTAGTTTTCTTTTCTAATTTTTGTTTTGGAGGACATTAATTTAATTTCACAATTATTTGATTTGTGTTCATGCAAAGCCTAATAGTACAAGTGAAAGAACTACTTTAGTTGTAATATCACACCTCCCTGAGGGGAACCCCCAAGTTTCTAGTGAGAGTATACCTGTTTACCATCTTGTCACCATATTCCCACCAATGGCGTAGCTCCACTTTCTACATATAAATCCACACACAACCCACAATTCCTCTAATCGCTCTGACGAAGGGCTAACGCTTGAAACGTCAGCTTTTTTAACCTTTACAATGGCTAATTTATGTTTTCAACCCAGTTGTTAACACTAAATTACCTGCAATATTTTAAACCTGCGACAGAAGATCTCCTGTAGGTGAACTCACTGGCTAAACCTTCTGTAGCAGTCTAACTTTAATATTTGTAGCAAACTTACTGTTTCCTTCATCATTTCAAGACTCAATATAATTTCAGAGTTAAATGAAATAATACAAGAAAAAAAAAGAACAGCAACCCAAACCTCCTCCATCAGATCTGAGCCCAGAGAGAGACTCTACATTTGAATCTTTACCAACATTATCATACCTGTAAAAAATCAAAATAAAGATATATTAGTTAAAATTAAACCCGCACAAGTTTTCAAAATATTGACACAACTTGAAAAGTTACCATCCACGCAAGCTATGAGCCTCTTGTAGGTCCATAGGGTTTATCCTCATATTTGTTGAACCCAAGATTGACAAGGAGCGTCCTGGAAAAAGTTAATATGACAAAGTGATTTCAAGGAATGTCACTGAACAATAAATACAATTAGTTGCAGGCATGGGGGGGGGGGGGGGGGGGGCTATGCTCATGATTAAAACTTCCTCCAAATAAAGGGTAACTCCTAGACTTGACTTATTCAACATCAATTTCTACATACCTCCAAAATCTGAGACTTTTGCCCCTTTTAGGGCAAGAACAGGAAACTTTCCAACAAACTCATCAAACGTCTCAGCCTGTTAACCAATAGCAGAGAGATTAATTTTGAGAAAAATTTTTGTCCTGATACCAAAAGTTGGTTTGAATTTAAAGTTCATAAGGTAAATGAATTATTTTGTTGGATCAAAGAATCTTAACAAATAGAACACATGCTGAATACATCAAAGCAAGGTTAACATAGTGTTGTACACCACACAGGTACACCACAAAAGCTCCAAGGCAAAAGATTTAATGTAACACACACAAGATACATAACTCTTCTGCTTCTGTGCTCTCTCACCACTCTCAAAGTTCCCTTATGTTTAAGAAATGGCTGTCCCAATATACTACTAACAGTTACTTTGCCCTTTAACATCTTAATGATGATAATCAGCAGTTAAACCATGCTTAACTTAGGTTTCTAACAACATAAAGAGTAATTATTGACTTATTATTCCATTAAATTGTGTTCATCCCTGGATTAAATAGGGAGCATAGAAAATTCATATCTCAGGGTCATTACCTCTTCTCCCCAAAGAGTTGCTCTCACACTCTTCTCTGATCTGTCCAATAGAGTAATGTCCCTCTTAGAAACCTAAAAATATTTTAAATAGAATTAGAGAGCTAAAGTAAATTCTTAGGTTCCAAAATTAAAAAAAAAAATGGAACTAAAACCAACCTGTCTGTTAGTTGTTTTAGTTGTTATTTGTGTGACATCATCAGCATTGATCACGATACCTAAAATATCTATGCAAATTGTTATTAAAATTAGTAGAGGACCAGTTTTTTATTACATTTAGATCTCATATGAAATGAGAACAAGGTACTTAAAGCTTTGTTATCAACAGCTAAAGCTGAACACTTACTCCTTTTGTCTGCTCTCTCTTCTGGGTATGATTAAAAAGTCATCTTTCACCACCAAATAGTGTGGACAGAGGGTGATGATTCCATTGGGAGATACAAGGAATTATGTTCCTGAGAGGTGGTTATCATGTTATAACTGTCATGCTAACCCTAAGCAATAATTTCAGCCCTCAAGGGTTACAAATTAATAGATATGTAAAAGATTATGACTCACCAACAAGTGCATCTGCATTAAAATTTCCCAAGTCACCAATGTCAACAAAATTGTACTGCATGGTTGGTAGGTCACAAGTATCATCACACTAAATCAGCAAGTTATGAAATAAACAAGAGTATAAAAATGCAAAATGGTGGAAATATGTCTCAGTTGCTGTATGCCTAGTATTTAACAGTGTCAAACTGTCATGTTAATACAATCTGAGTATATTCTATCGATTTCTAAGATGGTTTTGAAACTATCCACTGATTCAGTCAGGTAAAATAATTTTCATCACATTTTTCTACAATAACATGCTGAATGGAGAGTCTATGGTTGCAATGATATCTGTACTTACTGGCTCTATCAAACTATCATTGTTCAGAAAGAGTTCATAGTCATTCTTGATGGTTGTGAATTTCTTGTTTGCAGTTCTCAGAGAGCATTTGGAGATATAAAACACCTGTATTATGAAAAAATTTAGAAAATAAGAACATCCATAAACACAGGTCTTCTCAACCTATGACAACGAGAGGTTAGCAAATCCAACAAACTTGTGTCATAAAACTAGAGCTGAACTAAAAAGTAGTTATAAGCTAAGAAACCAGGGTCAGCCCCCACTGACAGTGTTGCAGATAGGCTTTGAACTTAGCCCACTATAAATAATTAAATAGAGACAAATGTGCAAGTAAAAGCAAGGTTTACATACCTTGTCAAGTTCAAGCAAGTCATAAAACTTGTCAACAGCTTCATTGAATCCAGTGGCTCTGATCTCTCCCTGAAGAATATTGAAAAAAGTGTGTTAGTCTGAAGATAACTGTCCCTTACAATGCCAGACTTCTATGCTTCCAAAAAATCGTAGTTACGATAGTGTCATCAATGAGTGGTCACACAAATCCTTCTCTGAAACTACCCTGTTTTTAATTACCATTTCAAAAAATATCACATCATTTAACTTTTAATCCACAGTTGTCCTGAAAAATGCACACAAATCAGGTAAGGTAAAAATGATGAGTTCCTATAAATACCTCTTTAGGAATCTTAAAGATAAAAGGGAAAACAAGTCATGAAATAATAGTTCATATTTAACAAACCGACTCATCCACAAGGTCGACATTAAAGACACGGCCCTCTCCTCTGGAGTTGTTGTAAGTGCGGACCTTTGGCTTGCTTGTAACACGTACTCGAATTGTCCATCTGTTAAGTTTATGAATATAGAAACAAAGGAGAGACCTTGAGCACTTACGCTAACAAAAAAGATCAAAAGCATTTTGGTTGCATGGAAAATGAAGACTCCAATAAGCTAAGAGCTAAGAGCTAAGAGCTAAGAGCTAAGAGCTAAGAGCTAAGAGCTAAGAGCTAAGAGCTAAGAGCTAAGAGCTAAGAGCTAAGAGCTAAGAGCTAAGAGCTAAGAGCTAAGAGCTAAGAGCTAAGAGCTAAGAGCTAAGAGCTAAGAGCTAAGAGCTAAGAGCTAAGAGCTACAACCTACGACCTACGACCTAGGACCCAAGACCCAAAGACAAAGACCCAAAAATGAAGACCCCTTCAGGATTTTGAGACAGGAAGTTCGTGTCACACTTTACGGCTTCACCAGAGAAAACCAGTGAAAAGTTTAACCACCTCTTTGTTTGCAAAGTAATCATTAATCACCAAAATGAAAGTGAAATTGCCAACAATTACATTTAACCCAGACATCCCTTGATTTTCTTTTCTTTTCCTATTTGTTACTTTCTTAATTAATTTTTTAAAAAAATAGTGCCCTTCAAACTTTTCCCACCCTCCTTATAATGGAAAAAGATCAGAGCTTGCTGATGTGAACTTTCGATCTGGCTGGCAGTGTTACAGCATTGCACTTCATTCATACAAGCTGGTCTAGCACAACATATAGCCCAATTAATCAATTTTTCCAGTGTTTATTTGGTTTTGGCAAAACTTCTTGCACAATGTCTGCCCATTCCAGTTGCCAAAGCTTCTAAACCCTCTGGGTAGAAAGCAAGTGGTGGCCACTGCAGAGATATTCTGCAGTTTGAATGCAATAAACTCCATGTGAAAATTCACATCAGCCGAGGAAGCTTTGGATAGATTTTTCTTAGGTCTTACCACTATAATAAAGAAAATAAGGGGGCCTTCATTTTTGGGTCTTAGCTGTTTGGGTCTTCATTTTCAAGTCTTTGTATCCAGGGTCTTTATTTTAGGGTTTTTGTTTTGGGGCCTTTTCATTTAAAACTGGTGTTTGATCATATACTTTATCCCTATTAGACAGATTAAAACCAAACTATGATATTTCCAGCAAGAAACAATAAAAAGATCATAATGAATAATTCATTTTCAGGTCCTCATTTCTGGGCCTTAGGTTTTAGCTTTTGGGGGTCTTCGTTTTAATTAGCTGCAACCAAAACATTTTCATTATAAAGTGATCAAAAAACCCCTGAATTTGTCCGTAACACATTTTCACCAAAATTGTATCTCAGTCCAGGTCAGAATCAGTGGCTTTTAGTTGATTTTATTTTGAAAAAAGGTTGGAAAGAAGAAAGACCCTAGAATTTAATCGTCTATCATGAAACATGCTCAGGCCATCTTAAAATGGGCAGCATATGTCTTGTTTGACCCAAATATTTCTGTGGGTGAAGAAAAGAGTCTTTTAAAATCTTGTACTACCTGTTCTGATATGGTGTCAATGATGTTATTGGAAAAACAGATCTGATGTTATTGCCTCTTGAAGCAAGTGGCTTGTGACTGAAAAAAAAAGTAAATATTAAAACTATGGCATATAAACACATTTGCCTCTTCCTAGACTTAATACTTCATTTGGTCTCTTGAACATGTGACTTCAAGCACCATAATTCCTCCAGAAATGTTCTTTTAGTTAATTCCCTTTGACCGCACTAAACATTTCCATTTTATCATATGTGGCATATAATATTACCTTCCATATGTAGAAGAGGCCAGTTCCGCACCCCTGGATGTTCCACCTGCTAGTTTACCATTTGTCATTACAGCTTTCACACCACCTTAGTGAAAAAGTACATTTTTTCCTTTTGAAATGACATCATTGCTAATCACATGAACATCAACTACAATGAATACATAAGTTTCAGCAAGCTAGAATACTACTAAAATTTGTAAGTTAGACAAGACAGTATTGTTACTCTACCTGGAATACTCTGTGGAGCACCATTTCCATTCTTTTGTGGAGGATTTTGGCGATCAATGCCAGGATCTGCATTTAAGTTTTTGGGATCTCCAATCTTTCCAGGAACTTCCCTTCCAGGTTTAATAACAGTCACATCCATCAGAATCAACACTTTCCTGAAAATAACCTTAAAGTGAATAAAATGTCTTCCCAAGAATCCCTTTTTATTTGATATTAATTTCAAAGCTCTGTTGTATTGGTTCAAGTGTGGTTTTGTCTCCTTTCACTTTTAAAAAATCTTCCACTAAAGCTGAAGCAACACTAACCTAAAGCTAGGTGTATTAACTCTGCTGTCAAGCATAGGCTAATGTGAGGCCAAAAGGAAGGTTTACAAAGTAATATAATATGTTCAACAAATTTCTATTTACCTGGTTTCTTGAATAACATTACAGATGTACTTGTTCAGCTGAATAACAGCTTTCACTTCTAATTGTTCTGAAGTCACCATCTCATTTAGTTGAGTGGCCAGCATAGCAGCTTTAAAAACAACATACTGCTATATTAGACATTGTTATATATAGAGATGCAGTTATATAATGCTTCTCAAAACTTAAAGGATGGCATCAGTAAGTCAGCCACTTCACTGACATATTTCCCTTATCTACCCTGCGGTAAGCAGGAGTGTTAATTAACCTTAGGGTTTCTGATAAAAAAAACTGTTGTTAACCATGCTTTACACCATAGCAAAAATCAATGGAGTTCTTTTCTGTTTTCTTCCTAAGTGGTAGTCAAGATTAATTTCAGTCATACAGATGTTTCACATCCGTTTTACAGATACACTATAAAGCACAGGCAAAACTTCATTTTGATTTAAATGGGTATAGTACTACAGTATTTATTGATCAGCACCATTACAACCCTCCTGTATGGCTCAGAATGTTGGCGCTTAACGGAGAATGGCGCTTAACGGAGAAGGATCTATCAAAACTCTCCACTTTTCACACCAAAAGCCTTCGGCGTATTTTACGCATCTTTTGGCCTAATGTCATTTCCAACAAAGATCTTTTTGAACGGTGTGGAACCGAATCAATGGCTACCATTCTGATGAGGAGACGCTGGAGGTGGATTGGCTATGTCACCCGCCAAGAAGCTTCCATTGCAAAAACTGCTATGCATTGGACGCCAGAAGGGAAACGCAAGCGGGGTCGCCCCAAGATCATATGGCGACGGACAGTTGAGAAGGAAATAAAGGAGATGGGGAAGACCTGGGAGGGCATCAAGTTCATGGCAAGGGATCGCCAGATGTGGAGGGAACACGTCGCTGCCCTACATGCCTGTTAGGCGTAAAGGGCATGATGATGATGATTTATTGATATAATATGATACTCACATGTAAGGACATGAATGCCATCAGATAGCACAAGCCTATGATACAGAAATCAGCTCTTATATTAAAAATCAGTAAACAAGTTTGAATTCAATTGTTAATATCATTCCATAAATGTAAACAAGCCATCTCCTGTTTCCCCATCTCTCTATAGCTGAAGTTTCTGTTTCATATATCAGTTCTATTTTGGATGAAAGAAAATTTATAAAGAAAGCCCAAACTAATAATAACCTCAAAAAAAAATTGATGAATGTCTTTGGCAAAGCATACAAACTATTCCTCTCTCACAGAACGATAAAATAGTATAATGGTCCATGAAGTGGACATCAATTTGTTTATACACTTAACATGAGAGTTGAATTATTGTGAAGATGAAGAATAACACATTAAAAGAGTTACTATCAATATCTATCTTAAGACTTACACCACCAAAGACAGAAGTTTAGTAACAGTCTGTAAATAATGTACTTAGAATCCATGTCAGCTAGAGCTTTTAATTCATGCAGTAAAATACACTTGCATTGTGTGTATAAAAATAATCATAAAAAAGTGCATACCTGTACCGGTCATTGCCTTTACCATCACTTCCTTTTGACTGAATTTGTTTTATTCCCTGTGCAAAAAGTTTTGATTTCACAATTTTTAAATTTTACCAGAGTATCAATGACAAGAAGGTTTACTTTGGAAATTTCCCACAAAATTTTACAGAACAGCATTTGTAATTAAAATACTACATCTTCTCTTTCTTAAGCTTCTGAAACAATTCTTCCAAATTGAACAACAAGTAAATCCAAAATAGATAAAAAAATTCCAATATGGTTGGTGAAAAGTGCAGTACGTAAACAGGCTGGATTAAATGTCCTAATACCCTCTCCAAATCTTCATCTCATTTGAGAAGGTTGTCCATCACTATGGATGTGCACTTCATGGAAATTTTATGTCTAGGGATCAGCGACCCGTTCCAATAGGAGAAGTCATCTCCTCGTTGGCAAGAATCTAGCTGTTAAAAACTTGATGGTTAGGATTGCTTTACAGAGAAAAAAGAGCTAGTAATGAAAAGCCATGGTAGAAACAGTCCGGCTCAGTCCACTGAGCCTGTGAGAAAAGCCCCAGAAACCTTTCAGAACCACAGTATAATAATATGTAACTGGATATTGTAAAATAAATAATTAAGCCTGAAAGCAAGAAACGAGGAAACCTTCGTGGTCAATAATGGTTGGCTAGTAGATTGGTCACTGTTTATTTGAAATATATTACGTGTATATGTACTTCGTGCATTTAGAAAAGTTAAATTAAAAGCTCAATTTTGAAAATTCCTACCAGAATTTGCAAAATTGGCTGATGTGGATGCTCTTCCATCGGTTTGCTTATAATTTCCTGCAATAAAACATACGATATAGAAATATATTTTTCGCGCGAAAAGGCGAACAAAGTCGAGATTTAAAAACACATGCGTGCGTAGGAATCGAAAGAAAGACCATATATGCAGCCGTACCTGGATTGCCCCTTCGCTTAACATCTTCAGAGATCTTTACAAATGTTTGCAATCGACGGCAAATTCTTTAACTGTAATGAAGTAATATTCGGAAGCTTCCTTGTGAGTCTTTCGATTAGCACTCCCGCCAAAATTCCTCCGAGCGTGTTTTTTAAATAGGCACCACTGACCACTAACAACATGTTAAAACGAAGCCCTGGGAACGAGTTATAATTGTGCAAGCTCATAACAAAATGGCGGCGGTGATTCAACGCCTTTCGAGACAAGCTTTAGTCACCTTCATGACAAGAGAAACAGCAACGTTTTCTTCGAACTTTGAAACCTTAAAAACAATGGTAGGTCAGCAATGAAAATTGCAAAATATCTGATCACCTTTAGAGGCCGTTGATGGTCAACAATAAGCGTACATGCACTTAATCACGCACATCCGGTAAACATGTACTTTGCCGGTAAAAATCCTTTCAAAAATTTATGTGAGAGATTTGGAGCTAGAACAACTTTCCTTTCAACCAATTTTCAAAGCATGAAATGAGTTGCAAAATATGTTTTGTACTTTTGATGCAATGCTAGTTGAGATGGTTTAATGTTGACCATAGATTTTACGTATTCGTTTACGTACCGGAACGTAGAAACATAAGTTTGATCCAAATTGTAAACAGTAAATTTACACGACACGTTATCATTCAAGCATGGTCTGATAATTTCTTTGAAACTGCATTAACAAGCTTCCAAAGCAAGCTAGAGTCATTAAAGCAACATGTTGTGGGTTGAAAATCGTGGGAATTATGGATTAGGTACCATGTCGCCGACCGTTTTTCCATGTCATTTGTGTTCTCTGGCTACAAATTTATTTTTCAGGAACGCGAGCGTTTGAAACAATATGAATGTTTCTTCATATTGTACCGGATACAGATATGATCCCTTTTTAGTCTAGAGTATTTGTTACTTAGCTTATCGATGAATAAATACGGTACTTAAAAATAAACATTTCCTAATGTTCATGTAATCTTTGACAAAAGCTTGTTAGTCTAGTAATTTTTTGACAACCAAGTTTTAAGAAGTATGGATAACTGTATTTAGTAGATAGGTCACAAAGTTAATAGAGAGAATGGCTTCCTTTATGGACCATTATCTGCTGGATAACACTATCTACCCTTCAAATAACTGGGATTGGACCTGTATTCCTTTATGAGGTTGTTGCTGTTTTTGCCAGTATATTATATGCTATCACTGGTTCACCCAATGTAAACTACAGTCATGTGATTACACATCATATCATCATTATAGATAAAGATTTTTTTATTCAGTTCTAATGATGCAGTTTAGTAGAGCAAGGTAATTTGTCATTATCAGCTGAGTTGATAACACAAATTGCCCACCATAAGAGTTACAAAGGTGACATTTTGAGTGTTAGCCCTTCATCAGCATAACTCTTAACAGTGGTCAATCTACATTATCAAGTCATTTGATAATGCTAGATTTCCTTGTTATACTCTCTCACCAACACAGCACCACAGTTTCTCTATTATTAATAGTTTAGTAAGGCACTTGGCTTCATCCTCCGGAAACTTTTTTAGTGGTACCTTGAAGCCCAATGCACAATAGTCATCCAGCCCATGAGGTATTATGGTCTTTGAGTCCCTCAGTTGACTTTGAGAGCCAAGTCATTTGTTGTAATGAATATAAAGCTGATAACAACTTAGTTTCTTTGGTCACATGTTTTAATTAAATGCATTTCTTATATAGATCCTATAAAAAAGTTGTCACTTTCCTTGTTCATTTAAGAGAGTCATTCAACTTTTCTTTATGTACATTACAGGAAGTTAACATACTGATCCTTTACTTCTTTGTTTTTGTTTTTGTTTTTTTTTTTCAGCTTGACTCAATCACGGCAGATGACATCAAGCTTTCTGTTCCAGATCCTTTAGAACAGAATAATGGAAGCTTCACTGAAGCACCAGCAACTCATGTTTCCATCTTTGAGTGTCCATTCTTTTCATTAGGAGTATTCATCTTAAGGAAAGGATGTTCTATTCCTCTCCATGATCATCCTGATATGTTTGGTTTGTGGTAAGTCAAGTAGCATCACTGTTTGTTGCAATTTGCACTCAGCTTGTAAAAAGAATAATAACCCTGAGGCTTAACTCTAGTACTTCCAGTGTAACTGCATTACTGGCAGCACTACTCAGGGCCAAATTGGCAACTAGAATGCTTCATCATAACCTGACCTAGAGGTATGGTGAGTTAAAAATATTTGCAAAGCTAAATCCATGGCAAACTTCCTTGTTAAGTTTGTTTCCAAAATTCAGCACTTGTATCTCAATTGATGACTAGACGCCATCTTGGATTTAGGAGAACTTGAACTTTGTATATTATATCATCCATCCTAGTGTCCACTTTGTGGTACATAAAAGATTTTTTCCCAGACTTAATTTTGGAGGATCTATCCAGAACACTGACAGCGGGAAAAAAGGTTTTGTTTGTCTTTAAAAATGGCGACCAACTTTTTTTCGAATTGGCTACCACTGTGAAAAATTTAGGAGCCAAGTGGCTATCAGGAAAAAAAATTAATTTCACGCCCTGCTACTGAAATGGCTATCCTTAATTTTTAAAATGGAAAACAAATTAGCCATACAATTCAATCCCTTTATCAAGTTAATTAATTGCAAGAAGTGGGGTCTTTAACAGGGCAGGTGTCAGAAGAGATGCATATATTACATCACATGAGATCCTGGTAATCCCCTAGCTTGCAAGAGCTTGTTTTTTTAGTTCTGTGGTATTGCATTGGAGTATAGAATCAAAAAATTTGGGGATCTATTCTAAGTAGGACCTTCAGATTTTTTATTTGTCCTTTGTGACAAGACAGATTTCAACTTTCCTTCACCAGAACCATTCTTAACTCTTGACTGAAAAACTGAGGTTTGAGCCTTGGGTGCCTCTTCATGTTGTGATCATGGAAAAGACACTTTCCTACTAGTGTCCTTCTCCTTTCAGGAGTGTTACTGGGTACTAGCAAAATGTTATGAAAATCTGACAAAATGAGGCATGGAGTCACTTGCCAAACTTTCATAATTTAATTTAATGTCAGTAGGTAAATTTGATCAGTCCACTTATACTTGTTCAGTTTATCAAATTGCAGTAATAAAATATGGTTACAATGACTTATGTGAAACTTAATTTCTTGTACTGAAATGCAGGTTTATGTTTTTGTTTTGAAATTTCAGCAAAGTGGTGTATGGGAAAATATCGGTGGATTCATATCAAAGCCAGTCTGAGTATGTACCAACACTTCTGCCCTTTTTCAGTACTGTTGTATCTGTTGAAGCTTGTTAGGTAGATTTTTAAATTCTGCAGTGATATAGTTAGAGTGAATTACATATTTATGCTCACTACAGGACTACACTAAATGGAAGAACAGATGGCTTTACAAAACATCCTCTTCATACCCGTAAAAGTATGTATTAAAGCTCTTAATGACATATTTAATGCAATAACTTTGGTTTCTGACAGTGTATCAGTAGATAAAGGAATATGTGTGTGCCAAAATAATGATGATCCACTTTGCTGTGAACGTGTTGTCTGAATCATAGAGCATTTCATTGTCTAATTTCTGTCAAGTGTTGTATTTCCACTGACATGTATCCTTGGACTCTTTATAGGAAGGCTCATAAGATGCAGGAAGACTGAACAATCTTTTGAAGAAAGCAGTGGGAGTTGTGTGCTGACACCGACTGTTGGTAACCATCATACGATTCACAATACTAGGTAATCCTTGGTAATCACTCTCCTTTCTTTTTCTCATCACTTATCATAGAATTGATTGATATTTATTGTGAAGCTCCTTTGATATATTTGTGTAAATGTTTGTTTTGAATGTATTGTCACAATAATTTAAAGATTACATGATTGTATTCTCAGGGTGATCCTCCCATAAGTAAAGAATGCTTAAGGATATGGTAGACCTTTGAGAGCTCATTTGTTTCACTTTAAAATTTTTTTTCATCTCAAACTAACTATAATTATTTTAACTATAGTTTCCAAGAAAAAAATTCTCATAAAATATGGAAATGCACAAAAGTTATAAACAAAAACATATTTCAAATTCTTTAGCCTGCTAAAGTGTGAATAGCCAATTATAATTGACTTCCAAAGGGTTTCTTGCAGCAAAACTCCCTGGTCTTTGAATTTCAATCATGTAAACATTTCCTGATTTCAGTTGCACATTGAGATCTGTGCTTATGTCTGTGTTTAAAACTAAAATGTGAGTGACGAAAGATAAAAAGAAGGAGAGTCCATAGATAAAAGTTGAAAAAGAGGCCTGGCTGTCAGCACAAGAAGTGAAGAAATTCAACACAGAATGGTGAAAGAATCTCACTGAAAGGGATAAAGGCTTATGGTTTAGGTAATCTTCGCTGCTCACACTTGATCAGCAACCATTAAGTTTTGCCACAGCATGCTTAAGCTGCTTTAAGCTAGAAAATTTAAATAAAGGGTTGAAATCAAAATTTGCCATTCAGCAGAATTGAACTAAAGTCTGTCACAGGTGACTATTAGATAGTTACCTGCAAAATAGCAGCAGGAGGCTTCTGTGTTTCTATTGGCAGTTGGCATTTCATGTTTTTCAGAGTGTGAACTGGTTCAAAAGAAGGCACATTCTCATTAATTTGTGCCTTAAGGTGTAAACTTTAGGGATTGCCTCAAAATTTGGTTTAAAGATTCCCAAGATGCCAACCTAAAAACTGAGTGGGGAAATTCTGATTCTCAGAACTGATCTCCCACAATGGCCTCTGATGTAATATGTATCAGTAAAATTTTGACAGATAAATTCCAAAGCAACCAAGAAGAATATCAAAATAATCCCACATGGTTTTGTAGACCAGCTGCTCAGGATTTGAATTTTGCAGAAGTTTCATTTGTGCAGTCAGATTTGATAATCAATTAATTCAAGATAAAACAGAATAATTTTGCCTAATAGTACATTTCATAACTTCTCCAATGATATGTAGTTTCTGGTGGTTATGCTTCAAATAGCACATTAAGATTTTTTTTTGTGAAGAATGTCCACAAAGGTCTACAGTATCCTTAATGTAGAGTGTCTTTGCAAAACGTTTGCATCATTTTCAAAGAGCCAACTTACCTACATAGCATTTAGGCCACTTTTCAAGGTGAACTGCTCCAAACCCTCCTTCTTGAGAGGCCACAGCTGTTAAGATATTTATTTTAAACTTTGTAGTCAGAAATGATGTTATGGCTAACAACTATTCACCAAAGTGGAGGTTTTGTGGCTTGGGAAATATCCACTGCTAGTCACTGTCTTGGAGGTTAATAGTTGTTTAAGTGGATACTAAAAACTGAGGTAATATAGCACAAAGAGATGACTTTGACTTGATGGCAATGTTTGCAATATTTTTGGGCACAAACCCTGTGCACCTTACTCAGAGGTGAATAGCAAAGGATGTGTGGAGTTTCAGTATCGAATCAGAACATGCCTTCAATGCTCTCCACTGTTTAGTATATACTGATATCTTTTATCCAAAAATTACAAAATATCTTATCTGTTGATTGAAGTAAGATAATTATCTGATTGTAACTAGGAAAGTGAGTTCCAGGCTTGTGAAATGTTTATTTAAGGTAAATATTTCTTGTTGCACAATTGGAAACTTTTGTCAGTTACTTAAAATTGTTTAATGTATGGTTCCTCTTTTGTTGCAGTCCAGGACCATCAGCATTTGTTGACATCCTTGGTCCTCCCTATGCACAAGACAAAGTGAGTAAACATGAACACAGTAGGGTTAGACTTTTTCTTTTTTGGCTTGAACTATAAAAAAAGGCTTTGTTGATATCTAGGTGCAACAAGTTTAGATCAGTAAAATTAATTCGTAGTGGTTAATTTTGCTTTATCGTACTAAGGGGTTATTTTGGAACTCTTGTGATGAATATCTCTCCCACATGTTTCTAGTTAATAAGAGTAATTGGCATGCCTCCCCTTACTAGATATTCAACAAACTTCCACTCAAAATAAAATAAGTTACTCCACAGTTCCCTGCTTTCCCCACAAACAATGTTGCTTGAAATAAGTGAGGGTTACTAGTTTTATCAGGCAACATTGAAACAAGAGAGAAAAGGAGAAAAATGAATGTTAGAAACAAAAATCAAAAAGTAGTAGATTGTGTCAAAACTTTTGCCACTCACTGTAACTTTTTTGTTTTTTAATTCTGAAAGAATACAAGCTCTTTAATACTTTTCCTTATTTGTCCAACAAATTGGTTGACACTGTCTCTCTCTCCCCCCCCCTTAAACCAGCTTGACTAGGTAATAGGTACACAAATTGGTTGCAAATGTAAATAAGGGTTTTGCTTTAAAGCCAAAAACCAAAATGGGGTAATCTCAACAATATTTCATACAGTTACTAGTGTTGTGGGTGGTTGAAATTATGGCCTTGATTGAATTTTTAAAAAGGTCTTTCTTGTGTTCAGTTAACTTATCACTGTCAGTAAGCACAAGAGGACTAATTTCAAAATTGTTTTTTGTGCATGCATGTACTTTGAAAAACAACTTGAAGGGTTATTTGAATGAGGAAGAACAAAAGCTTATAGAGTGTATGTGTTGTGTAGGGTCGTGACTGCACATATTATCAAGAGTGTGATCCTTTACCATACCTAAACTCCAATAGGAACAATCAGGTGATGTATCTTACTTTACACATGCTTCATCAACTGTTATTTTTAACAGGATTCTGATTGTTTTTCAGATTCAATTATATGTAGATTGATCTTTCTTAGAATAAAAAAATTGTTTAACATATTTGACTCAGTGTGGACTTGTTCACTCAGTCTTTTGTAACTCAGTGAGAAAACTCAGCCCTGTAATGCTGGTATGGAACAATTTTCTTGAGATGTGATTTTGATGCAGAAATGCACTTAGTTTTGCCCACAGTTGCATTGAGCTTGCCAGATCTACTTTACATTGAAAAAAATAAAACATCCCTCTTATCATTTCTCTCCTAATTTGTTTTTGCAAATTCACAAAGATACTGAAAAGGAATTATGGTCAAGTTGCTGACAGTTCAAATCACCAACACCAACTTGCTGACATATAAAATCAAGTAGAGATATCAGTGAGTTGGTCTTCAATCCAACTAATACAACTTATTAGAAGTTAAACATATAAAAAAGTAAAAGATCTTTAGCAAACAAAAAACAAAAAAAGCCAAAAACTTGGCTTTCTAGACAAGATCTTTAGTAAAAACAATTTTTTTATTTCCAACAAAGTTTATTAGGATCTCAAGGCAAATAAAGCAAGGTAAACATCACCAATGACCAACAATTAGCTTTAGATGCAAACAAGGTATGGTGCGACATCAACACTGTAAAGACTCTTTATGTCAATCAGTCAGATTTTTAAAAAAAACTTGGCTTTCTAGACAAGATCTTTAGCAAATAAAACAATTTTTTTTCGTCCAACAAAGTTTATAAGGATCTCAAGGTGAATAAAGCAAGGTAAACATCACCAATGACCAATAATTAGCTTTAAATGTGAACAAGTTATTGTGTGACAATACCACTGTAAAGACTTATCATGTCAATCAGTCAGAGTAAAAAATAAAAACTTGGCTTTCTAGACAAGATCTTAAGCCAAAAAAAAAATTTTTTTTTCATCGAACAGAGTTTATAAGAATCTCAAGGTGAATAAAGCAAGGTAAACATCACCAATGAAAAACAATGAGCTTTAGACGTGAACAAGTTATTGTGTGACAAAGACTCGTCATGTCAATCAGTCAGATTAAAAAAAACTTGGCTTTCTAGACAAGATCTTTAGTAAAAAAATCTGACTGATTGACATGATGAGTCTTTCCAGTGTTGTTGTCACACAATAACTTGTTTGCATGAAACTTGAAACTTTTATAGTCATTGGTGATGTTGACCTTGCTTTATTCACCATGAAATCCTTATAAACTTATATATTGGAAGGAAAATTTTTTTTTACTAAAGATCTTTTAATTTTCTATATGTTTAACTTCTAATAAGTTGTGCTGAATTAAAGACCAACTTGCCGATATCTCTACTAGATTTTCTATGTTGGCAAGTTAGTGTTGGCAAGTTGAACCATCGGCGACATGACTGGATACCCTGAAGAGGAGGCTTTATTTGAAAGATAACTTTTGTACAGAGTTTAAGGTATTGACTTAAGTGGCTACCTTTTTCTCATCCAGGCTCCACCAATTGAGACAGATAGCTCTGAAAGGTAAGAGTTTCTGTTTGCAAAAGTTAATGAGGTATATCTGCAACCCACAGAAGTATTTCTCATCAATTAATTCTCACATAGCCTATAGGGGTGTAGAATGTATCTTTTTAAGAAGGAGTTCAAACTTGGTCATAGACTTAGAAAGTATGTGAAAGTGACTTATTATGATTGCAAGAATCAAACTATTGTGTTCATCTCTGACATGGTCTCACAGGTCTTCTCTTCAACAACAGTTGTTCTTGCAGAAAATGTAACTATGAAAAATTATGTTTCCTGTTTTCATTTAGATGGATAATTGAAATACCTCCTCCCCGAGACTTTTACTGTGATACTCAGGTAATGTTATGTAAGTTCCTATATTTTCATTCAACATGTTTTTGTACTGTAGTTCACATTCACCCCATGATGTTCTGTGAAGATGGCTTTTTTGTGGGAATGTCAGTTAATTTTTACTCTTCATTCAGTATTGAAAATGAAATCAAACTGAATCATTATTCTGGGAGAAAATTAGTGACACTTAAACTTTTCACTTTGTCACATGCTGAAGACTGGGAGTATAGCAATCGAAACATTGCATTCATTACACGATTGATATGCCTGACTTTTACATCGTGAGACAAACAATTAAACATTCATTTAAAAATAACCCACTTTCCCAGCTCTCCAATAAGGTAGTTTCTCAGTAATAATAAAAGTTTTATTTTTATTCCCTTTTTTTCTTCAGCCATACAGGGGACCACCTGTGAGTCTGCAGTTAATCTCTGGTCCTTCAGACTTATAATTATACCATACCCAGTGACAAGTAAGAAGGATTACATTTAACGGATCTGCACTGGAGAAAAATATACATTTAAACAAGTTTGTATAGTATAATATAATTATACAGTTTATTTATACAAAATACATAGGTTGCTTATTTACATTTCTAAGTAGAAGTGTTGCAGTTCTGAATTGCAAAAGGTCCTTCATCTATAATTTTTTATGCACTTCAAACTTTCAGCATCTATTGAATTCATAAATTATTTTAGCTTGACAAGACACGAAGGTGTTGACAAAATTGACTTGTGCTACCCAAAAAAAAAATCATTATAAGATTCATTTAAAATTACTGGGCTGATAACTCAAAGTCACAACTATGTTTTGGTTTTTTGTTTAAACATGTAATGTAAGTCACCAATTCAAAGATTTGAAGGCAGGAGAAATTGTCAAAATTGATGTGCTGCTAGTACCAAAGGAACTAGCTATGGGGAAGTCTTGTCATCTATACTTCACCTAACATTTATCAAAGTTAGTCATACTTTTTTTTTTATTAAGCCTGTTATTTAGCAAGTAGATCCTTTCTGCAGTGTGCATGTTTGGTTACTGTAATAGATCAGAGATGTCAAAGTGTGGAAAGAACCAAAAAAGTGGTGCATGAGGAACAGACAAGTGTCACCTGTGTTTTTACCACATTTTGTTGTCTTCTGAGATATATTACTAAAGCCTTTACACCCTAACATCAGTATGCATATTCTCTATTCTGTTCTCTGTACATTTCCTAATGCGCTGGCAAGGAAAATTTGTTTAACAATCAAGAGGTTCTTTAGTTGATTATCATTTCCTTTATTCTCATGACCTTAATGTTTGATTCAGGGATAATATTGAAAGGAGAAATTAGATGCTAGTCACTCTCAGGGATTAAAGGGTTAACATACACACCACAACAAGGAATCAAATTGTTATATATTGTAAAAAAAAGATATTTTATCAATGGTAGCATCATTTATGGGTCTGTCTTCCAACAGATCAATAGCAAGAACCTAACAAAGTGCGTATATAATGTAGCTTGTTAAATGAATACATTTACGTCATAGATGTCCAGTGATATTCACAAAGTTGGGTTGTGAACATCTTTTAAAGCCAAACTTTCACTTTTTATTTTGTGAAATTTGAAGTTGGAGAATTGACTTGGAAGGCTTTTTGTTGTGTGTGTAGGTATATGAAGTGATTTTCCAGTTTCAGGGTTTTGTTTGTTAACAGAGTGTTGGTAGTAGCAGGAAGGCTGACCTTGCAGTAATTTCACCCTGGTCTGCTTGTACCAATTGATAAGGCTCTCTAACTGTATGCCATAAACAGGTTGTGATAAGTTAGTGTAACATAACGATTGAGTGTAAAAGGCACGTGTAAAATTTACATAATTTGATCAAAAGGAGAGTAAACTTTCCAGATACTTTCCTAACTGTCAATTTAGGTCGGCTTCTTGTGTGCAACCATAAGTTCCAAAGAAATAAATGTAACCTTGAAATTTTTACCTTTGCCTGTTATATATATAGTAAACCCAATTATTCTTAGTTGGGAGTTTTTGGGTTCTGTATTTTTGAGACACCAATTTGAGTTTACACTGTTAATGTCAGTGGTATATTTAGGAAACTCGCTCCAACAAAGGGCTTACGCTCGAAACGTTATCTTTTAAACTCTTTACGGTGGCCAATCTACGTTATCTGTTGAAAAGAATTATGGTTAGATCGCACCATGGTTAGATCGCTCCAACCAAAAGTTAGATAGCTCCACTCGAAAGTTAGGTCGCTCCATCAAATAAGTGACTTCGCTCCCAACGTAAGTTACTTCGCTCCATGTCGAAATGACAAAATGCAGAGAATGAATTATTGTTCTGTGGTGCAAACCGAGTCTTCTCAGCAACTGCTGATAGGTTTCCCTCTGATCCATTTGTACTAAAGAGCCAGGTTGTACCTTCTGTTGGATGATATACAAAAGAGTCCCCACATTACGTTTCCTTACGAGTTATGGGTGTGATCGTGCTGGTGGTTACTGGGTGTCAGACAACCCTAATACCCATCTCTCTCTTCTAGGCCAGCGTCCCCTATAAAACTCCAAAGAATATAAATCACAGCACCGTGACTCACTATGTTATAAGGAGTACAGTGTAATTCTAAATTACAGAAGGTTCACTAGCCCCCAAAGAAATAAAAGACAACACTGAAAGTCTATTTAGTCCGAAACACCTCCTTAAATTCCCTAACTGAACCCGTTGAGGGAAGAGTACCGGGAGACTTGAATCACAACAGCTTCTTGTTTAATGTACCACTACTTTATTGTTACTAACTTCACCAACCACTACTATTGCCAGAAAGCTTAGCACTTACTTTCTCACCTGGTTATATTTTCTCGACCTTGGGAGCTGATATCACGCCTGAGCTCTATGCGAGAAAGACGCACATATGACCGCGTGTAATAAACAATATGAAGCACTGACGGCTTATTTTGAGATAACCTTAAGGGCTTAAGGAAAACAATCACAGATGTGAACCTTGCGCTGATAGAAAGTCCAAAAGTTTTATGCAAATAAAGCGCTTTAACTAGCGTGGTATGTTTGGTAAACACTGAACCACTAAATAGCGAGTTATCCGGTGAATAGCACTATCTAGCCTTTGAACAACCGAGGCCCGATGGATAGTACAAGTTTTAATTTTTCTTACAAGTTATGTCGATTTTTCTTACAAGTTGTGTCGATTATTATCGAGGGCTCCACTGTATTTTGGTTTGGGAGAAAAATTAGAGAACTCAGATGTTAATTTTGCCGTCTACGTTTACTATAACAAAATGTACTTCTGATAAATGGTGCTAATCAGAAAAATTTTACGCGCTAAAACCCCGTGTAGCGAGACAAGCAATTCAGAAAAGAGCTCAAAAACCCACGTGTACTGTTCGAGGGCGAGGTGCTTTAATGTGCCGTCTCGAATTTCAGAGTATATTTACCACTCCTAAACTCTTATGCAGGTAATCGCCCTTTAGATCTTCAACAAGATTTGAAGTATAAAGGTTTGACATTAAGTAGAACAGCAAGTTTCTTTTATAACTACTGAGCTTGTTTAATGAACAAAAGGTCCTCCAAGGCTGCTTATTCGGGTCTCAGTGTCGATCGGTAGCCTTATCCCCTCAGTTGTGTACTTATCTCTACACATAATTATTCACGAACACAATTATCTGTAGATAAAGATCGCAATTATCGTTTAAATAGACACTGCTTATCAAAGTGATTCGTGAGTTTATTTGCTAGCATGAGGCGTGATTTCCCTCCTAATCGTGTCATCCACAAGGCATTAAGAAAAGATTCGTTACAATAGGAGCGTCTGAAGCCCTACGCCTCCTCAGAGCAAATATGTCTCGCTCCACCTCTAGAATCTCTTGTAATTCCCGCAGGGTCGGTTATTTAAAAACGTTTAGCCGTTGTTTAACAAAACCGCGTTCTAAGCCATTTTGAATTGAGCAAAGCTTTTTATCTGAACACAAATTTTTGTGAACAGTGTCGAAAGGGCCGAAAGCTTAAGTGGAAGAACATTTATTGAATTTAATCGAACCTCTTAAGGAGAATCCCTGAGACCCACTGCTGTAAACAGCGGTTTCTGTCAGGCCTCATGTAAATAACCGGCCCACAGAGTTTCAAAATACGCTTAAAGAATTAAAGGTACCAAAACGAAGGTCAGTAGAAATATATCCCCGCAGTTGTTTTCTTCGGGAGAGAAAGGTCACTTAAAAACAAAGAAAATAACAGAAAAAA